ACAAGGGACACAAGCGTGCCATTTTCAGTTCCTCCACATGGCACTGTTAAACCAGGCTGCACACAGCGCCAGAGCAACTCTGCGCTGCGACACGATGCTAGCGCAGTGGCACTCCATGACTCGAATAAAGACCCTTCCTTTTGTGGTTCTTTGAAGCAAACCTAAGAAAGGAAAGGCGAACAACTGTAGAGAAGAATAAGTGAAAGCTGATCTTCTGTGGGCAGTGGCCAGCGCTTTGGAGAGTATGCTGTCACCTAACATCCTTGTAGGAAACTTGGCCCAACCAAACGTTTCTATCATCAAAAGCGAGTGACCTGAACAGCTGGATGTACTCTGCGAGCAGCGGGGAGGGCGCAGGCAGAGCGCCGGTGCTTGCTGCCTTCTCCCCACTCTGGCAAAGGGTGAGGGGATCACGTGGGGCCGAGCACCTCCCGCCCCGCCAGCCTCCTGCCATACCCACGGCCTCTCGCAAGGCAGCCTCTGATATGCTCCTCTGCTTGCAGGCCCAGAGAATGTTTTTCTTCCCCTTCTTCTTTCATACCTCAAAAATTTTAAAGATGGAGTTGCACCTAAAAAAAAAGTAATTTAAAATTAGTTTCCGCACTTTTCCGGAAAAGAAGCCCTACAAATCAAGGAAATTGATATATTACAGTAGAGAAACAAACCCAAAGTTGGCCTCAGTGCACTTTTTGGAAAACAGATGCAGCCTGCGGCCTTCTGCCACCGAAAACGTTTCAGGTGTAGTTCACATTGATGTTTAGCATTTTAATGCAGTCCAAATATTAAAAAGCATTGGTTGGGAAAAGTATCTGTTTGCCAGAATGCAGCTGTGGGTACGTGGCCGAGGGTGGAGTGTTTCACCAACAGCAGACCAGATTTGTTTGATTACTTAAAAATAGAATCAAGTTTAAACGTGGACCCAGCTGCACGTTGTCACCAAAGCTCAGGCGAGTGGATGCTGCTGGGAGCAGGGGGAGGCAGGAGGAAGCTGGGCTTTGCTCCCAGCACCACTCGTGGCCTAGTAAATCACAGTTTTACCAGGTACTGGAGATGAACCTTTTAAAGACATAAAAGTACAACATTCGTGAATGAGAACCATTATTTTAATAGTCAGTGGCTTACAGCAGCTAAAAATACAAAACTTTGCACAAGTATACACACATACATCGACACTTTTTAGGGATGGTGCTACTTCAGCATCCCTGTTAGGAAACAGATGTGAAACAAGGTGATGGCTTTCCTTATCCATCTTCATAATTCTTTTGATCTGCAGCACAAGTCATTTTACCTTTTGCATTGGACTTAATCCAACATCTTCAAACCTGAGTGCCCCAAAACGGGAAACTTTCTTATTGGTGGTAACTGGAGATTCTCCAAGAGGGGTTGTTTTACAGGCCGTATGTACAATGGAACACTTAAAGGCAAAGTTTTAACAGAGCACTGTTTAAGAAAGCACCAACTTAAGGGGAGTAGGTTGCTGATGAAGGGCAGGAGGAAGAAGACATCACTTGGTCCAATGGTAGCAGGCTGAGAAATCTCAGAATATCCCCTTACAGCAAGATGGGTAAAACACGAGGAGCACCTCTGCAGAACTAGCCCAAGAAGTCACTGCTGTGAAGATCAAGGCGGCAGTTTAGCAGTGCAGGGGAGAGATCTCCTGGAGTTACAGCAGGCGAGCCAAATGCTGTGCAGAAAACTACCTGCAGTCATCTGGATGGTGGCAATTTTTTTTAGAGTGAGAAGGCTTTTGCAGGCTAGAAATAGTCCTTGGTAGCCTCAAGAAGTGTTAGCTGGAATTGTTGCAATCAGTTATGACGGTCATCCACGCTAGGCAATGTGACCAGTGTTAGATATTACTTATTTGAATACAAGCAGATAAAACCTAGAAGATACAAGATTGTTGCAGGGTAAGGGTTAATTCAGTGGTTACATCAATGATTCAAAAATCGTAAACCACATGTGTAATCTCCTAAATCCTAAAGTACTAGATTACCAGTCCGGCAGGAAGATGATGTTGGGCAGGACTCTAGTGTGATCTGGTGTCCCTAGAGATTTGCTCCCTGTGGACGTCCGTAGCAGAATCTCCACTTCTGGACTGTGATCGTTTCGGAGATGGCTGGTTGTGGGGCAGCAAGTTGGGCTGTTCAGGGTCCGACCATCTCTGCCTCCCAATAATTATACATGTAAGTTCAGGCTGATTTTCGGCTGCTGCTTGCTGGTTTCTAATGCACATATTTGCTAACATAATGCTAAGGTCATCTGCCTTTACTGTTAATACTAACATTTATGTGCTGTCTCCTACAATACTTAAAATTTCACCCTCCACACAAGAGCCATCCAACACTGGGCACAGGGGTGTTGGCCCCAGCCCAAACCCTTCACAAAGAAGGGTGCTGGCTCACATCTGTCACACGGTCTGCCAGACCAAAGCAACTCAAGCTTTCCAGCATCGTTAAAGGTTTTCAGAAGTTAAACTACCAGCAGGTGACTCTGACACTGGATATGCCAGTCAAGGTGATCACCTGCCTCCTAATACAGGTGAAGGGACCTGGCACAACAACTTCGCTACACTGGTGCTGCCAGCCGACACCTAAGCATGAACAGCCAGTATCAGCTTGACCGCAACCACCACACAAGGCTACATCCAGCATTTGAACAGGCCTTCTCCTTCTGACCTCATCCTGCTTGGGTAGGAAGGACAGCTTCCACCAACAGCAGCCACTGTCAGGATTTGTCTTCTGCATCTTTGGCAGTCTGTGGTGGACAGGGGGTGAGCCAGTTGTCTTTGAGGAAACGTTGAGATTTCCTGTAAGAAAGAGTCCTTTGGGTTGGAGCCCAATTCCTCCAAAGGAACTGGCCCCATGGTTATGAGAGTCATGTACAAAAAGCATCAGAAGAAATTGCCTAAGGGTGGTTACTCAGTAATTCCTAGGCCTGACATGAATGAAAGGGGCAGAATTTGCACAGCAGGAAAAACAGCTAGTGTAGCAGTCTCTGGCTACCTGCCAGGACTAAGATATGTTGGAGTTATCAGGAAGGGAAAGACTTTCATTATTGGATCTTGTCAAAACGCTGCTTGGAGGACAGACGCTGGATTTGGCGCTCAAAGAAGCCTACTGCCTGTCTTCCTGAGGAGTCTGGTACAGCCTGATTAGTAGGGCCCCCAAATCCGAGATGAAGCCGTTGACCCTATCCCATTTCTGCACCTTTGTGAAACTTTGGCTTGGAGCCCCCTGCAGATACTGCACATCCCTTACCCTGGTGGTAAGGGCACACAGGACAGCTGATCATGGTAAGACGTGGGTTTGTTTCGGGGGGAAAGGTGGACAAGGAGCATGAATATCTCAGCCCCCAAGACAAGGAGGGAGATAGGAAGCAATTCCCCTTTCTCCACAGGGGTATGCATGGGGGAAAAAAAACAGCCATGAAAAGTCATCTTGATGTAACTCAGAAAAAGCATAGCTGAAGTTTGAAAAAACTGCAATGAAAGTACCAACTCAGCCTACCGCCAGGAATAGAGGGCTTGGCTCATGCCCTGTGAGCACCACTAGAGCCAAAGACAGTCAGATCTACATTGCACCTGCAGCATATATGAATATTTTAAGTACAGCTGCTCAAAGGAGAAGTGGGCACTTTCCTGTGTTTCGCCTTCAGCGTGTCTAAGAAAGGCCTTAGCCTTGCAAACTTAATGACAATTGATAACTTAGCTCATAGCATAAACATACAAACACCACTGTCACAAGCAGAGATCTGGGTTAAACTGTTCCCACCTGCTCTACCCAAACTCAAAATGATAGTTGTGTTGCTGAGGGGAAGCTGTTGAAGGAAATAACCTTGGAGAAAGAATGATAGGAATGAACAGCTGGGATGTTGGGGTTGGGGACAGTAACAATTTAAATTGCATCTGCCACAGATGGACTTGTTCAGCTCACTTGTGTCCACCCCCCCCCCCCCCAAAAAAAAGTATTCACATTTAAGTCAATGGGGACTATTCACGTGAACAAGAACTTGCACAACTGTTTGTACAACCTGCTAGTCAGGTTGTTCACATCCTCTTGGGAGTAGACAGATGCAGGGATATCAAGTACAACCTACACCCTGCAAAGAAGTCTGCTGCTGCTCACATTCCTTATGGAATTTAGCATTCTGTGGTGGGAACAAGAAGTGTGTCTTTGATGTGGACAGGAGAGATGTCAGCTCTGAACAAGGAAAAGCTTGCATAGAAACTCTGAAGTATTAACAGACATTTCTAACAATATCTCCCACTGTTCTCATTCTTTTTTCTTTTTTTAAAATCGAACACTTCAATCTGATCACTCTCCTATCTATTACCATCTGTTCCTTAGGCTCAAGAGAATGCCCATTCTTGCCACCTCTAAGGCAAGGTAAACACTACAGCAGCAAAGAAAACCCACAAGTACATAGCAAGTAATTGTTCAGGGCTGAATGCTACAACATAAGCTAGCACAAACACGGGGAGAAAAGTTGCCGCAGCAGCAAGCCTCATGTTTCAGTTTCTCCTGCCCTCTTCACTCCTACCCCCAAACTTCTGCCCCATGCTGTCTTCTCAGAGTACTGCATATGTCCCAGTGGGCAAAACTGGTTTTAAAAAGGTTTTAAAGCTATTGACTCAAACCGAGTTTAATACATTTAAATTAATAAATACTGAAGGTAAAACTATCGAGGATAGTAAGGGGGTTTAAAGAAGCTGCTGGTCAGCTAAACAAAGCTATGAGGTTTTACACTGTTAGCATAAAGATCCTAGTTAAAGAACAAAACAACTTACACACATACTTCTTATGCTACTCCCTACACACTGATGAACATTTGCATCACTCAGAGACCAGGTACTACACCGGCTGCAGCTGCCAAAAATGCTGGTTGGGGTAGTCGCATTGAAACCAAATTCTGCTGTGTTCTCTCCAGCAACTTGTCCTAGCACATCTATGGGGAAGATGGTGTAGCAGTACAACTCAAAAGGAAGTGCCAGAAACTCAAAATACTTTGAAAAATGTGTCATTTTATTTGTACACTTCCAAAGTTGTACGTAGAAACTTATAGTACAGTCCTGTAAATTTACTCATTGCTAGAAGAACTGCCAGGGACATGGGAAGGTATTTATTGATTGATCATCAAGTTAGAGGGGAATAAACAAAACAAAAAAAAAGGGGGAGGGGGAGAAATTAAAAAAAGTTATGGAACTTTTTTTTTGTTTTGTTTTTAATCCCCAAGTACAAATTTTATAAATACAAAACAAATTCACAAATTACTTTGAATGCTAAATAAATATCTACTTAATAAACTCAGACTGAATACCTTCAGCCAGCACTGGTACAGTACTTAAAAGATATGCAGTTGTACTCATTCATGTGTAGTGTTGAGAAGATATGCTCAAACAAGTTTAAACATACACACAGTTTCTTCAACTGTGCTACAGCAGAAGATTTTATCTGAGTTGATAAAGCCCTCAATACCACAGCTCCTACAAAATCTAGAGGATGAAACAAGGTCATTTGGTGCAGGAAAAAACAAGGTACTTCTGGAAGATATTTGGACACATGAATGTATTAAAAATGTACAAAACCTCTGTAAACCAGTACTGTATCCAGTACATCTATCAAAATTATTAGACACTGAATAAAACTGTAGCAAAGGTAATCTTTCCTACGTTCTCCTGAGTGCTTAATATTACGTTGAGAATATAGTGCAGGCCACACTTCAAGGTGGTTAAACAGTTGTTATTGCTTTATACAGGTATGACGACTGCGTGATTTAACATTTCATTTTAATGAACATAACAGATTCCCTCAAAAAATCCTTTGAAAGGCAGAGGTTAGATTCGTGACTTCTTTGCCGCGGGAGCAGCATGGTCCACGTTACCAGATGTGATCGGAAGTCCAAGCTTTTGAGCCTGAATGTGGAAGAAAGCTTGAAGTCTAGTTCCAGCTTTTGCTTCACTTGTGTTACGAGGGTTGTATTCAAAGCAGTTCGAAAACATCAGCTCAATGTCTTCAATGAATTCCGCTAGTAAATAAAATGTAAAAAAATTAGCATCTCAAGTCATCAGACAGCAGTATGGTAAAGCAGTATGACACCACTGAATTAGTACAGTGATCCAACAGTCGCAACACAAACATGTCTTTACAGACATGTCAAGTTTCTATCATTATATTAGTGAAGTGCCATGTAAACATTCTTAAATTTCTCTGATTATCAATAAAGGAAATACAAATCAAGCAGTAACAATACTACCTTTTCTAAATATTTCATCAGTGTCACTCACTGACACCAAAGGCTTGAGAAATTACCAGCAGTTTCTCAGCTGCTCATTTCTTACCTGTCTGTACATCATGTATTTTGGCGGTAAAAGAACTATGTTCAACAAATCTTATTTAAAAAATATCAGTAAATGCTCTTTTAAAAAAAAAAACAAACCAAAACAAAACACAAACCAGAACACTACAAAACCCCACACCAAACACAATTTCAGCTTTCTAATCCTCTGACAAAGCTCTATTTTAGGACAAGATTTTAAAGAGAGAGAACAGGGTTCATTACCTCTTTCAAAAAAGAATACTTACATGCTAACTTATATTCACATTTATTCACTTTTTCACGGATTATATTTAAGGCAATAGGTTTTTTGATGATATCATAGTAGTCTGGTACCTTAAAGCAGAAAAAAAAAAGATTCATAAACAAACAAATGGAAGCTTAAAATTCTACCTATGTAAAATATTAAGCAAATCATGCATTAGCAGAAAGCATTTTGGTTTTGTTTTTAAATAAAACTGAGAAGTCCCAAGCAACCACCTCCATTTCCTGAACTGAGTATTAGTTTTCAGGTACTGCTGCTCTGTTTTTTATAGCAGACCACAACAAACATTAGCCAGCAATTCAATGAATAAATCTAATCCTAAATATCCTGCAAGAAAATTGCATGAGCAGATAAGCATTACGGTGTTCCAGCTATTCCCATCTGTCAAGCACAAAAATTATTTCCAAGATCTTAAAACTTTTCATTTTCCTGTAACATATTACAATATTAAAAGCACCTTAAACATGAGTAATGACCATTTTTACTCCACCACTATTCACTGTCTTGCAGTCTTGCAAGAGAAATGAAATCCTGAGATTCTATTTAGTTGTTTCGAAGAGAAGGCAGTGAACCTTTCTGGTTTCAGGACACAGTGTGCAAGTACCAGAGATAAACAGCCACAGTGCTTATGTGATAAAAGTAAGGGGAGGAAAAGGATTGCCTAACCCTTAAGGGCACTGATCATTTGGATCACAAATTTTGAATTCAAGGTAAGCACCAAGCTTAGGGTGACTCTGTCTCACTCACAAAGTGGGGCGGGGGAGAGCGAAAGAAAAAGATATTTGATTGAAATTTGACCCCCCCCCCTTTTTTTTTAAAAAACAACAAACCCACATGCACCATTATGTATGTTTTAAAACCAAGTTCCTGGTTATGACCTGTTACTACATCAAGTGCAACCTGGAAATAAACCTAGAGAAAGAATTAGTAGAGATACAGAATTAGATTGACACATTTTTAATTCCTTTTCCATTAGGAGTGCTGTTTACATAAGTACTAAAAAGAAAGGTAATTTTCTCTTTCTGGCTTGCTATGCACTGATCATTCAATATATTCTTTACATTGTCTTAAAGGCAACAAAAAGTTTAAACCAAAATTTCTATCACAATGAAGAAAATATGGGTCACTCAGGTATGGATTTTTCTTTCCTAAGTATACAGAGACTATCCCTTAGTGATTGATTCAGGCAAACTGGAATGCACTGAATTCTAGCAGTTTCTTTTCAGGATCAAAATTAAGTTGTATTCGCCATCCCTCCTAAAGAAGCTGCCTTGCATTCACCAGATTATTGCACTTTCCAGTGTAATTCCTGTACTCTAGTAGGCAGAGCTAGTCTCCGTTTCATTCAAAATTCCTCTCCTCCTCTGTGCTTTCATCTTTCATTCACATTTGTACATAATTCTTTCTGTCCAGATACATTAATCCTTCCAGCTACCTGTCACTGAATTCAGAGTTTCAAGTCTTCATTTAACAGCTATCACTGTTAATTTTAATAGAGCACTTAAACACCAAGCTCTAGTTCCTGCAAGAATGCCTGTGCAGAGTTGCTCCAGAGGGCTTGGAGAGGACAGGCACTTTGTTAGGGTATGATAGTTCAGCAGTGCCTTACCACTGACAAGCCAGTGCAGCCTGCAGAAAAGCAGACATGCTCTGGGAACTTTTATTGTAATATAAACCTCTAAAGCAGCGCTTACTTTGGGTACCTACTTTACCATCAAGTATTTTAAAATCTAAACAAGAGGGAAATTAAATTAAGAACTAAGGTAAGAAATCATCTTTTTACTGCATTATAGTTAACATCAGAGTGAAGCTGTTCCTACCTTGTTATTTTATTGCAGGTCTGTTCTCAAAATACCTTTGTATAAATTGAAGATTAATTCAACTAATTAATTAATAACCATAAGCTTACCTTTAGCAGTCCTGTGCTCTATTTGTTTGGTTTGTGGGGTTTTTTTGTTTTTGTTTTTTTTTTCCCCTCAAATCAAAGCATTTCACATTATTAAATGCCTGATGGCAAGCATGGTTAAAATTTTCCCAATAACATGTCAACTGGAAAAGTTTTTTCTGGCATGAAATAACTGAGCTAAAGTGGGAGAGTTCCTCTGAATCCCATTGCTTAGCTGTCTCCCCGTTTGGGCAGTTCTATAAAATCTCAAGTTTTACTGGCAGCAAACAGGATTCTCAATCATTATCATTCCCTCTACAGTTCTATGGGTTACCTGGATTTTAGAAACCAGTTTCATGAAAGGCCAGCTGTCGTCATGTCGTACCAGTTCCACTACAAGTTGTTCAAAAGCTGAGAGTTCATGGACTCCCCCTTGACGTCCTGAACTTCTCCTGTTCAATGAGGTTTGAGGAGATGATTCTGAAAAAAACAAACAACAAAACAAAACACCCCCCCACCAGATAAAAATAAAAACCTGACAAGTAAAATAAAAAAAATAATAAAAAAGTGAAACACCATTATTCTTAGGTACTAAAACTGTTGTTTCAGGGCACAACTCATGTAGTTTGGCTTCAGGTATTAACTATACTACAGCCTTGTTATTAACCACTAACTGTCTCTCTTGCTGTACAAAATGCAAAGTACCAGGACTTAGCTGGGTTCCCCCTCCATTCTCCTTCATTGCATTAATTTTGGAAAAGATTTTTTCAATTTTAAAACAATTTGTTAAACACTTAAAGAAAAGCCCTATTAGAGAAAAACAGAATAAGCCGCTTGCTCATAACTTTTACTTCCACAAAACCTCTATTCAGAGTGGTTTTATCTGCTTTCAAGAGTAGTCAGCAGGGTGGTTAGAGGATAAGCCCAGAAACTCCCAATGGTGAAGGGCAGAAATGTTACAGAATACAAGGCTGCCACACTGGAGTGCAAGCTCTTTTACACTCTTCAGTCTCACAATGGGTCCATTTTGTTTTTAAAAGGTTATTGTAGCTTTCCAAGTATTTCCCTACCATCAAATACTTGGTATTAGCTTAACAAGCAAGGACACCGTTAGCCCTATACCAGATAGACACCATTTTAATTCTTGTAGCAGTTTCTTGTTGTTCATGTATATTCCCAATTTCACTACCTTGCCTACATCTGTGTTCTTCACTGTTTTAACTCTTCGATAAAACAAAATCATAAAAGCTATAAGTAAACATTTGTATTTGCATGGGTTAAGGCATAAATATCACTTTCACGTTTTCTGTCCACTTAATAGCAATTGCTCCATATTGCGTGCAATTATAAAATGTCAAATGGATATGAGAAATCTCCTTGGCAAATTAAGTATTTGTTCTTTAGATGACCGAAATTTTTTTTATGGTTTGCTTCTGTCACTGCAAATGAAGGGAACTGTCTTGTTGGAAGTGGTAAAAATTCCTTCAACCACCACTTGTAGTCTCCTTGCTCTACCACGCAAATATTATAGAACGGAACAGAATATTGTTTTCATTCTGGACAAACACATTTCTCTAACCTGTGGATTGTCGTTTCCTGCCTCTTCTCTTGGGTTCATTAACAGGAAGAGAAAGCTTTGAAGAGGAAACTGGGTACTTCCTAAGTCGTTCATTCGAGTCTGCAGTATCAACAATTCTAAATCCAAGAGAATTGGAAGGGCTATTTTCCAGTGTGTTATCAGCACTCTTTCTTCCTCTTCGTCTTCTTCGAGGACTGAGTAATTCCACAAATACATCTGCTTCTAATGAACTTTGGCTCTGACGAGTGGTCCGGCTATTAAGTCTTAAAGAAGGCTTTGTCACTGATGGAGGGGCCGATTTTACCTTTCTTAAACCCCTTCTGGTAACTTTAGATGAAGATTCAGTTTGCTTAGGTGTGTTTTGCTGACTCCGAGAAGTGTATCTTGCCTGACGCTGGCTGTTCTGACTTGAGAACGGATTGTTGAGTTTGGCTGCTCTCATTTTTAATGGAAACTTGACCTGGGGTCTTCCTTGCTTTGATGGGCTACAAAAAGTGAACAATTATGTTTATTCATCCCAAAATTCCATTCTTTCTTTTCCTCTCAGTCTTCTAATTCAGCATTTAAAAAACCCAGCATTCAAGGTTGGACTGGTAAACAGCTTGCTTTCAAGCCGATGCAGTCATCCAATTACCATTATCTTAAATACTGTTCAGAAGTCTCTTAATTAAATATTATGTGGAGGACATGCTTTAAAGAAATGCTTAGAATTCTGATCATCCTTGCAGCTTGTGCAATACGAATGCATTAACTGGAGCACCAGCTATCAATTTCTTAAAATCACTTACTTCTCACAGCAACTGTAACTACTAGGATTTTTGAACAATATTATCAGCTACATAAACTGCACTAAGTATAAAAGTTATGCTCTAGTCAGGGTTTATAGCTAATACCCGAGAAGGAAGATCCCAGAGATAAATTTACTTCTCAAGGAGATGCAAGTTCTCTCCAACTATTGAATCCCAACTGTCGGAGCTACAAATAATCTTGCTTCAGTAAATTCAAAAGACTGTACCAAAAAGAAGAAAAATACTCTGAGATCAGGAAAGTTTCCTTCAACTTTTATGCTCCTGGGATGTGTATCAAATTCATCACTTCACTGAAATTAACACATTGGATTACTGAGTTGTTTGGGGTCTTTTTTGTTTGCTTGGTTTTGGTGGGAGGGTTTCTTGGTGGTTTGTTGTAGGTTTTTTGCGGGGGTGGAGGGGTGGTTTTTATTGTTTGAAACTCTCTCCACCTTATATTCAAACGGTAGGTGTACAGAACTGCAACTCTGATGGCCGTCTCTCACCCATACATCCAAGGCTAGAATTTTCATCTTGAAAAGTGAGTCTAAGTCCAGTGGACCTAACTTTTGTTAATATTAAACCCAACAGTAAGCACCAAATTCATAACAAGCTGCCCTTTTTTTAAAATAAACATTTTTTTCAGACTGGATTTTAAAGATATGTGCTTATGTGAAGAATTACTCCACCTAAGAATTAAGATGGTATTGCAGCAGGAAACCACTTTAACAGGTGTCTATTTACCTTATCTCTTCTTCCTCTTGAGATTCATCCTCCTCATCTTGCTCTTCTTCGTAATGCTCTTCCTCACTTTGTCCCATTTCATCATAGTTTGCCTCTTCTTCCCCTTCTCCTAGTCGTTCAGTAGTCTCTTCATCACTTTCCACAGAAGGTCTCTGTCTGGAGGAGAGGCGTCTAGAGCGCTGTTTTGGTCGGCACTCTGGACAAAACCAGTCTCCTTCAGGAATGACCTAGAAACAGAAGAGGAAAAAAAAAAAAGGCAAGCATTAGTTACACGCAATTAAGTCATAAGAACTACTCAAGTTTTGTGTGAAAAGGAAGGATTTCTTTTTCCTCAGATACCTTCAGCTTGGGCCTGATACAGTAAGTATGATAGCCTCGATCGCAGCCATCACACAGCACCATGCTTTCTGCATCACCCTTCTTTCGACACACTTTACAGCGAGCATTGAGGATGGACTTTGACCAGATGACACTTCGATCCAATGTAGACAGATGAAGGAAGACTTGGGACAAGCTGGTAGAAGAAAGAAGTGACTCTCTCCAGCGATCCAAAACTGTTTTATAGGACCGTCCACCATCACTGGCATCTTCCATTGAAAAAAGGCATAAAAAAAAGGCAAAAAAAAAAAAAAGGCAGAATGATCAAACTTCTTTTTCAAGCATCCAGGTTATTCTAGACTATGCGGTAAGGCTCTGACTTTCAAACAGATAGCAGTAGTAAACTGGGATAATATTATAACCTTTGTCTTATCTCTTCAATAGTTGAATATTTCCTCCTTAGTTTCCAAGCTGCTGAAGCCATAAGATTTTACTCTTCAATACCAATTCAACTTAGAAGTTGCACATATATAGGACATGAGTAAGACATAAAAGTCTTACTCAGATGTCAACCTGGAAACCTAACAATTTGATTCAATTTATAAAGTATAAATGAAGATTAGTCAAGATAAAAAAAAAGCCCCAACCCCCACTACCAATTTACTTTTCCTTGTATGTACACTTTGAAATCCCAAAATATTTACATTTAAAGAAAGTACGTGGCATTAAACGGAGACTTCACTGGCAAAAAACAGCTTAAAGGGCTCTTCTCACCTGCACTTGCCCCAGTATAGTCTAGCAGACAATCTTTCAGCCTTCTCCCCACACCTCCATGCCTTTATGCCTGCCCTGCACTCTGCCTTCACAAGAACAAGCACATCTATGTGGTTAACCAGACTGGGTGACTGGTCTGGCTGAAATATAACTGTTCTGATATTTTTATAAGCAATGTAACACACATGAACTTGTGTGTGGTACACACCTAGTGGAAAACCAAGTAAGACCTAGGATCCTAATTAAGTTAGAAATAAGGGAGGGGGGCAGGGCTGAGAAATTATATTGTATTTTCAAATAGGTTTGGTTTGCAATCCAGGCCACTGAAGTGGCCACACAAATACACATGCAGAATAGCGAGGGGGGTGGTACTGAACAGGAATGAGCAGCTGGGAATTACAGAAGCAAATGGGCTGTTTGAGGAGCTGGAGAAACAAGAAGGTATAAATGACAGCCTGCACTGCTGCTGCTGAGCAGAAAGGGAATTTCTTTATGAATGTTGAAAGCTATTTCTTGCATTTTAAAACAGGAAGGTTTAAGGGGAGGAAGAGACAATGTAGCACTATTTTGATTATACAAACGTGCACAGATTTCCCTTCTAAAAGTGACAGTCCAGTTATTACTGTGTGATCTCTAGCTGATTAATGATGCACTCTGGTATAAAATGCCACCTTGCCTGCTGCACTAGTCACAGTGGGCAAAGGAATGGCCTACGATCCACCTGTCTGCCAAATGACGTCTCCTCAGGAATAGGAAGAGAAAATATCTAATAACAAATAAAATGAAAGAACAAAAATGAGACTAATTGCTCTCCTGGCAAAGCCTTTCTGCCTTCTCATCAACTGGCTGCCAGGATTTGCCTAATCTTGCATATATTTGCATTAACAGCAAGCAGCAGAAGAGAAGTGATGGGAGAAGGCAGAGGATAAACAGGCAACACAGCTTCATAAATAAAATAGAGCCACTCCCAAACAGCAAATACAAATCTGGATTTCCTAAAGTTTCCTATTACTCCATCCTCAGGTTTCCTGTCTCAAGCTCAGTCTTACTAAGGATAGTGGACAAGGTCCTTTTCACAGCACTACAGTACATCTCAATGTATTTTTTTTTAAATTCAGTAAGAAGAAAATTAAAACCGCTTGCCAGACACTAGACTCTAACATGAGACCCACTTCAGTTCTGCTGTGGATTTCTACTATAACTCTGGCAAAGACACTTTATCTTAAGCGTATATATAGTTTGGCAAGCATTTCTTTTGCTGACAATGGCAGTTTGAGCATTATTTTTTGGGGGGGTGGTTATTTTTAGCTTGGATTGGTTCACTAATATAGTTCATCACACAACACAACAAATATTTGCACTGCAAAACTGCAGTTGCAATATAGACATAGAAATTACTGACCATGACCCGCTTCAGCATGTCCCGCTGCTGAAAGGAACATGCCAAACGACTCCTGCTGTTTCAGATCCTAATTTGTAAAATAAGAATAACACTTTTTTCTTCCATCCATCATCTTTCTCATTTATATTGTTAACTTGGAGGGAAAAACGGCCTCTTCCTTTGTGTCTGAGCAGCTCTACATCGCGCAGTGGGATACCCCTCTGTCAGCTAAGCCCTCCAAGCGTTGCTACAATGCAAATGAAGTTGCTTGACAGATCTATGCACTCATCTATCAATAGCTAATTGAGTTCAGGGAAGAGTTTTCCATTTTAGTATTTCTAGAAAGGATATGTGGTTGCACAATGCTGTGAAGTTTCAAAAAAACCAGAAAATCCCCCAAAACCAGAAAAACCCCAAAACAACAAACGGGGACATTAAAAGGAAGGGGAAGGAGGATTATGTGAACATGCAAATTTCTGTCTCAAAGTGCTAAAAAGAAAATACAGTTCTTTATCTGTGGTTGCAGAAAACTTAGGTTTTTTTAATTTTTTTTTTTTTTTAATCTTTGAGCTGTATTTGTTTTACTACCCATTTTTAAACCTTTGGCTTCAATACCACAATTCCATCAACATAAGGAAGTGGCTACAAAATTATTAAAGTAAAAAAAAAACCAAACAAAAAACACCAAACCCCTGGTAAAATATGCAATACTTTCTAATTCTTAGCAATACAAGTAACATTTAAAATTTACCATCTCTCTGACTAGTCTTGTCTTCCACTCTCTTCCTCTTTTTATCCCCCCAGTGGTTCCTTTTATCATCTTCTGTATTACCTAACATTAAATTCATAAAGTTATTTCAAATACCTTTTTGAAGCGTGGCGGATTATTTTTTAATTAATTTTTATAATCCATACTTGTGTAGTCTAAAGATGTAACTGTAACAGTGGTTCCCAACATGTGCACGTGTCAAAAAGTAGGCAGGGAAGGGTAAGAGAATAATGTGCATGGAGGAATTGCACATCCCAGGATTTACTTTGACTCCCACTACAAACAAAAGGCTTAAACTGAAAGCTCTTAAATCTAATCTCCCTTACCTTTCTGTCCATCTCCAGTACAAATGGCTATAGGACCAGCTTACTGACCACAGGTTTCTCTCTAAGCAAACAACTTGTCTGGTGTATGCTACCACGAACCTCCTAACATCTCAAAAATACAGCCAGTTTATGAGCACAGTCCTCAAGGACCGAGAGAACTAGCTCGTCTGTCCATGTGAAATGACATACTTAAAGTATTTTTGTGCAGCAGTGTTCTTGAGTATTAAAATGATGAAATTACTCTCCCAGGAAGTAAGAACCATAGAAAGCCTCATCTGCTCCAAATGCAAGGTATCTCCTTTCACTGCCTTCTCTGAAGAGTAAACAAAACCTCTTCATCATAAAAAAAAAAAACCCAACACTTCCACCTTTGCTGCCTCTGCTCATGAAACTCCGCAGGGAAGTAATGAAAGCACAAGAACAAAGCATGCGTATATACTAATCCTATCCCAGTTCACTGCTGGAAGATGTCTGATACTATTATGAGGAGGACAACTATAAATAGAAAAGGAATCAACTTTGGGTGTAGAAGAAACAAAAATAATCAAAATCTAGAAAGAAAGGAATGGAATAAAGACAAGAAAAAAAGGAGCAAAAAAGCTGGGGTTTGTTGGGGTTTTTTTGTCCCCAAAGAAGTGCATGGCACAAGTTAAAAAGGAGGTAAATGTTCCCAGTATCAGTCACAAAGGTGCTCCCATGAGTTAGAATCCAACCTTTCGTATGGAAATCTGAAGGATGCTTAATGACTGGAGTCCTGCACTAGTACAGAAGGCAGGTTTTTTTCATGGCTGAGTGAACTCCAGGGCAACCAAATCACTTCTTCATTTTATACCTCAATTTTCACATCTATGTAATAGGAATGATGAGAGCAACTTCTCCACTACAAGGTATTTTGAAATGTAAGGAAAAGTAATTTATACCAAAAAAGCAGCAAAATCCGCAATAAAAACTGCTTCCATTTCTTCCCCCTCAAACATTTTTTTTTTAATCTGAGATGTAGCACTTCGGAGTTTCCATCAAAGAGCTATTAAAAAAAAAAAAAGGCTATTTTACATTTTAACTCAGAATTTTTGCAGGAAAAGCATGTATTGCAAGCTGTACCCCCCTTTTTGTGATTCTCCCCAAACATTACCTTGGGCTGGACTGAAGGAAGAAAAACTACATTTTCATAGCTAATGTGTAATGAAAGGATTTGTAAAACACAATTCATAATTAAGAAATTTATACAATTCAAGTCAAGTTACATTTAATCACCTGACAACAGATTAGCAGCCATCCAGCAGCTCTGCAAGGCAGAGGGTGCTGTTTCTGGGGTTTCTAGATCCCTTTTGCATTGCCATCTTCTGTGTCAGTCTTTTCTTGCTCTTCCACTTGAATATTTGGTATGCACCTCAACTCTAAACTTATCAGAATCACCAGCAAGGCTCTTGGCAGCCTGATAGAGCCTCAGAACAAAAACGGAGCAGAGAGGAACAGCTGGTCCTTTTATTGCTATGCTGGGTCCCTTTGTCTGCTCTGCACCCTGGAGGCCACCAGGATAAACTTACCAGTGACTGCAGTGATTTCACTGTGCTGTCTTTAGTACTAGAAGCTGTAAATAGAGTGAAAACTAAAAATTGTTAAGTATGGCTCCATTCCCTAACAGGAACAGAGCACAGCGAAGAGGGAGCGGAGAGGGAAAAGAAACACTGCAGTGAAGGCAACAACTGAAATAATGACAAAGACAAAGCACATTCAGTTTGGTTTAAAGCAGAAATGCAGGGGCACTCTTTTTACCAAAAGCGTTCCCACGTACTGCTACCAAAACAGAACTCCTAGCGCTTGCTTGACTTCCAATGTTTTTACTTCAGTGGTAATTAAATCAGCCTGAAAAGCTGGGTTTGTCAAGTTTAATGTTAGAAACAGATATGCAGGCATTTTGTCTAGGGCACAGCTCCATTAAATAGTTGGAACAACTATAAAAAAACCCTCCTGTTAGAAAAAAAAAAAGCGTTCAGACACAGTGATCTATATAAGAACCGGCAAACAAAAACAAAAAAAACACAAACCAAAACGCAGTGGTTGCAAACTAAAAGCTAATTTCTATTTTCAGAGTACTGTTGGCCACTTTCTAGAGGGGTCAATGAAAGAGGGCATCAGAGTTCTGAGCAGAAGGCAGTCCCCAAGCAAGAAGCAGTATCCACTTTTTATTAAAAGGTTTAATAACACTAACAACTCCTTGTCAAGCTAAGTAGAGAACTTTTCTTTGCCTGTTACACATATGCAAGTTGCAAACTAAGAAACAGAACTTGCTGTGGTAGCATGCAAAGACACTGTTTCCAACTGGGGAGCTTAACCTGAATATAAGATTATGCAAATTTTACACTTGTTTTTTTTAAAACGTCTGAAACACTAAAGAGAGATATCTGGAAAGGGCCGCATCCAGAACTGCTACTTGACCTCTGAAGTGCCTAAGTTCACCAGGTGCCTCTCAAACACACAGGTTTCCTTGACACTTTGCAATTGTGCTTTCTCATCACGTCCAGAAGTTCCCAAGTCAGAGCACCTTTCATATAACTAACTGCCTAGCAGTCAGAAAATCATCAGCTAATAGGTCTGTGTGTTTTAAGCTTTCTTTACTACAGAGCCACTCAAAGCTGCGGCTCCTCCAAGGGCTCTCTAGTGACAAAACTAAAATCTTGCCTTCATTCAGCCTCATCTCCTGCTAAAAGCAGCCCATTACGCAACTGAAAACACGAGACGCTTGGCACCAAAGGTAAAGCAAGGAAGAGGGAACTTGATACTGTTGGTTAATGGTTACGGCAGAAAGCCAGAGAAGAGGAGACCTGGGACCCTTCCTGCTCCCTCAGCTATGTAGGTTATTCCATACATTACAGTAATCTTACAGCAGTACCATTCTTCACAGCAGAAGAGACGCACGTACACAGTATGGTAAACCAACATATGAGATTTAAGACATGCAAATCACGTAAGATTGCTTTCCCCATATACTTTCTTTGTCACACAGTATAAAGCATCCAAAGGAAAACAGGATTCCCAAATTAAAAACAAGCAAGAAACCCCACTAAAAGGTCAGGCAAAAACATGAACCATCATTAGATTATGGCAGAGTTGGGACCACTGAAAAAAAGACGTAGGAGGATTGCTAAAAAACTGTCTCTCAAATACTTCAGGGACACTTTTCTTCTTTTAGTCTTTTTCCTCTAACTCAGGATGCCCAATCTATGACCATAACCTGCTAATAGCCATGTTTTTCCTCTTAAGGGCACACTGTGGTAAACTCACAGCTGTCAGTGAGACGCTGTTGCCAAAATACTCTCAGAGACAGTGTGGAAATGGAGGTATATACTGCACAATGTATTTACAACCTGCACACGCAGAGTAAATATGACAAACGCTAGATGTAGTGTCAATTAACTGTCCCATGCACATGTTGTAAATCTAGTCATATAACAGGAAATAAGCTGTATCATGCCTGACTTGGAAAGGGCAGACATACTTGAGTTGACCAAACACTTAGCCAAGTAAAGCTTTTAAACAGCTGTGGTTTAAACTACTCCTATGCTCTCTCCTTTCATCTCAATCATCTGCTGCATTTCCCTCTTCTAGAGGTCATCACAGTGATAACGAAAGCTTGTGAAAGGGAACCCGTGCCTGCGTGTCAGAGTCCCTGGCACAAATCTAGCTTAAACTCATCTTCAGCAGCAACTGATATCCAGACACCAGACTCCATGCAGGAGCAGCTGAGATGCAAAAACAGTTTTAGGTCAACTGTGCCACGAGGCACTAACATGTAGTTTTAATACACCAAACCCTGCATTTTCATCTTAAACTACTGCAGCAAAATCTGCCAGAGCCTAAGGATTTTGTATGCAGTCATTATCAGAGGAGAGTATCAATTTAATAGGATGTATAGCCATGCATGCTCTGGAAGACCCCTGGTATGTGCTACACTGGTAAAACACACTGCGCTCCTGCGGATGAGAAGTAAAGCAGTCCAGCTGAGCACAGAGCATGGCTCGTCCTCAGTGCGGCATCTGGAAGGCAAGCCGGGCCAGGACAGCTGCCTCAGGAAGGATGAGCCACCTTTACACACTTCTTCAAGACAAAACCCCAGTTCTGAATTGCAAAAGGATCCTAAGGAATCCAGGCCTGAGGGATCACTATGCACTTTGCATCCCCTCTCTCACCCCTAGAGCACATCAGAGGAATTCAAGGAAGGACTATGTGTTAAAGTCAAGCTATAATCGTGCTTTGGTTTAAATTTTTCTTGCCACCTTTTATTTCCAAGTCTTACAGCATAAATGCAAAACCTGAGGATCTGAAAGTTTGCAATGTAAATCCTTACTACGTTTTACTGTAAATATTCTGTTATTGCTGAACAAGGTGATCGAGATAAAACAGGCCTATATCGTTTTCACAGGAACAGTATAAAAAGCAGCATACATTTTTACAACCTAAAAAAATGCACAGAATAAACTCATTGTATAGTTGCAAGACACATTGGCCTCAACAGTAATGCTGAATTACAGAGTATTCCCCCAGAAAGCTCACTCATTTCTGCCTTAGGGTACAATCTGTCTCCCAATGTATCAGTATAATTGTAGGGCCACATAAACAAGATCACCAAAATGATCCAGGTTAAATAGGCATGTATTTGAGAGTAAAATATGCTGTTACTTAATGAATACAGTAATTCAGGACATGCAGAATAGTAATATTACTATGTCCTCATGATTTATGGCTTTGTAAACTGACAATCTTAACTTTTAAAATTTTACAGTGGTACATAGCAGTAAATTAGTTATTTGTTCTTCTCCCCAACACGTCCCTTTAAAGCATCTGGTCTTACAAAACAAGCAAGTGAGTTTGGGGTGGGGGGTGTGGGAGTTGCATTTGGGGGCGGGGGTTGGTTGGTTGGTTGTTGCACGATCTTACACAAAATTAGAGGCATACAGTTTCAATTCTGAAAGCTTACCAAGAGGTGCTTTGAGAAACCTGCGCTCAATTCCTTGTTCTATCTGAAGCAGTGCAGATGCCAAGTAGTGGACCACATTATTAACTGGCTGAGGAGTACTTGTACTTGTTGATGCAGCACTTGGAGCTTCAGTTTTTAACCCAACAAGTCTAGAATAGAAATGTACTAAATTATCTTTTTTTTTCAACATACTTTGAATTGAACACCATAGATATTTGTACAGGTCTATATCCACAACAGATTTTTCTTTTCACTTCATTTAAATGCATGGACTATGGACATGAACCGATACTGCACAGGTATGATTAGTTATCCCAGTTCTCGAGTTTGCTTAATTAGTCTAGTTAATCTAAATAAGTCATCTAAATTTCAAGAAGAGTGGATGACAAATTTCAATACAATTATTAAGATTTCCAGAGGTTCTGATGCAACATCCATCAGCTAATTTATGAGAGATTTCTGTGAAGAGTATAGTCCCAATAATTCTTCAGTGAAAATACTTCCAGTAGTGAGGTGTAGCCTTTTAGAATACTTCCATCTGCACAAGTTCAACTACATATATCCCCACAATTAGTAACGTTTTTGAAAAGAAAATAAATGAAATAAAACCAGAAAGTAATTTTAGAATGTTAGATCAAAAATTGTTAGCTTGTTCTCATCCTTAGAAGATTTTTCTAAAACACTAACTCTTCATGTAAGGGGTGGGGGGAGGGCAGGCAGGGAAGGGCAGGTTTCCAATAAAACAGCCGCCTTTGACCAAAGACTAAGTAATCGTTTCAAAGCGTAGTTAATCTTCCTGAACCACATACATTAAGTATAGTGTAGGAGAGCAACTCACACTAATGAAAATAAAATTCAATTTCTACTTGGGGTTTATAAAAAAAAAAACCAAACAACCTAATTAAGACTGTCTAGATTCTGCTTTATTCTGGTGAATGGGCAATGCTTTTGGTTGTCCCTGTTCTTTTTTCACACTTAAAAGCTGTTCATTATGTTTTGCAGTCACACACATTTTGAGAGCCTGAAAGCAAACAGAAAAAAGCTGCATCGTTATTTACATTTCACTAGTCAAACTCCAAGGTCTTAATGAGACGTCACTCGCTCTGAGGTGGATAAAAAAGCCCAGCATCAAAAGAAATCTATCACATGATTTCAGAATCCCATAGTCTCTGTTTTAATATGCAAGACTTCATTAGAGTAGACTTTATTCAGAAACTTTGACAGAGTCAGTATCAAATGGAAAAAAATGAAGCAACAAGCTTCTGCAGTTGAATTGAGAGCTGGCAATGGAGCAAGAGTCCAAGGTAACTGGAGACAGAGAAAATTTAGCTTCTTAATTAAAACAATGGAATATTCCTAAGTTGTGGTTTTCAGGAAGCAAATGTCTGTAAATTATGTCATTAATATAAAGAAGGATGACCCTATCCATTTTGCACGCAACTAGAGAACTCTGATCCAAAGGGCAGTTTTATATGAAAATACTAATTCAGCAAACTGAAATAAAAAGGGAAAAAACCTTAAAGAACTTTAAATTCCTACATCCAACCCAGCATTCAAGAGTCCACCGAGAAATACAGCTTTCATAAACGTCTAACTGCAGAAAACCTCACAGAATACATAAGCAAACAGTATGATAGAACAATGATCGCTCCAATGAATCTTTTTTCCTGCAATATTTCAACAGTCACATCCTATCAAGACATACAATTTTAAATGTATTAAGTAAATTAAGGTAGATCTTTATTTCTGAAAAGTATGTAACTTCTGAAAATTAAATATTTAGAAATCTTCACAGTTTCTATAGTTTGATTTACAACAAACAGGATATAGAGTTCCACATCTGTCGCAAACGTCTAAAAAACAAACAAAAAATAACAAAACACTCTTACAGTTCCAACACTATATGATTTGAGGTTTCCTCTCTTTTACGTTACAGCTTGCTCTGTAGAAGGATCATCATTCATAAAGTTGTAAGATTATATCCATTTTGCTGCAGTGCTAAAGGTTAAGCCAGACCATGGCCCTGGATTAACTGATGGTTCTTACTGTGACTCATGAAAAGGTACACTGACCAGTTCAACCAGCAATTTGTTACTATTACCATTTTTCCTTTTAAACACTCCTACTCTTTCCACTAAGTGGTTTTGGTTTGGTGTGTGTCCCCCCCCTCTTTTTTTTTTTTTTTTTCTTTTTTTATTCTGGAAAACAAAACAAATCGCAAGATAAATTTTTCTCTGCATTTTAAATGATTTTAAAATGAATTCACATATTCCTTATTTGATAACTAATGTTCACTTTGAGCAGTGTAATATGCGAATAGTAGAAGTTGTAAAAATCGGTGTCTTAGTCTTATATGGTAATAGAACAGTGTCATTTAGAAAATATAAACCAATGCAAAAATCTCACATTTTACAAATCTTAAAAAATACCATTCCAAAGAATTAGAGGGTAAAAACAATTTGAAGATTTTAAAAAAAAACAGAGCACTGCTATAATACTCACAGGAAAAAGCCATTATTTAAACCATAGCTCTTACCTGTCTTTCACAATAAACTTGTCTTGATCATCAGTTTCCATTTCTTCAGATTCTTCATTCACAGTTTTAATTATACCATTTTCTTTGTTTTCATCATTCAGAAACTCATACCGCCCATGTTCTAAGGCTGCTCTCCAAGACTGTCTGTCTGTAACCTGAAGCAAACATACAAATTTGAAGTTTCTAAAGAATCAAAGGCCACAAACTTTTAGTGCCAATTACTGTCTACACTTAGTTTAATTATGCTTTCAGTAAAACCCATAGCATGCAAGAGTTCTTTAAGTTACAGACTCGACGGCACCACCATGCTCCTAGGTATTCTACAAGTCACAAATACCTTAATAGCCCCCAATGTTCCTTGGTAAATCCTGTCTTCAATGTCCAAAAGAAAGTCTCTAAGTCTCAGTTCAAGCTGCTTCTCTGCAGATACATGAGATCCATCATGGGCATTCTGCATCCTTCCCCGTCCTGAAGGAGGTCTGATGTCACTTTGAGGTTTGTCTGCAAGAATACCAAGTAGCTTCACGTCAGTGGACTTTGTTCCTTAAAGTAGCCGCTGGTGAGGGGAAGAATAGTAGTACAGGGCAGAACAAACTAAACACACAGGTTCAAAACTCCTTTCCTGTAGCGACAGTTGCAAACACCAGTATCTCCACGCCAGCTAAGGCATCCGATCCAAGCAAGCAGAGTATACTTTTAAGGGAAGACCTGTACATTAGCATCTGCTCATCCCAACACACAGGATGAGAAATTCTTGTCAATTTCAAAGTCGTTCTTTTGTCTTAAAATGCTTTCTAAAATAGTAGATAATCAACAACTCTCTGCTGCAAGTGCAAGGTAGAAAAAAAACACACCAAGAAAAAGACAAGTTACATTTCTAGTATTTTTCATATTTGATGGCCCTTACTTTACAGAACTCCTCAGTTTTCTTTCCTGCATGGGTCTCTATCATGGCAACATGTAAAACAAGCATGTGCAACCAACAATTGCAAAAACTAGCAGAACAAGATATAATCCCTTTTACATTCTAACTTTAAAACAAAACAAACAGATAAAGAGAAGATAACACAGGCACAGACTAGACTGACTGTGTCTTCTAATTAAAGGTGGGGGGAAAAAGGAAAAAAACAGCAAAATAATTTATGAAAGAGAAAGGAAGAGCTGATGATGGGCTGTCAAGCAAAAACCTCTTCATAAGAGAACTGAAAATTCATGCAAAAGCTCAAAAGCCACGGGAAAGAGCTGAAACTATGCCCAGATCCTAAATTAGTGCTTGCAAATCTGCATAGGTGGCAAACATTTCTGTTCACTGGATTTACCTTAAATCCTATGAGTGCAATGATGAAGAGGTATATACAAGAGCTTAGAGATCTTTATTTAATCAAAAACTACCATAAAGCTGTTAGAAATTCATCCTGTACTTCCTTAACAAGACACTCTCAACTGCAGAAACAATTCCCTGTAACTGAAAGTAACTATGCAAATATTCTCAAAACGTATACTAGCATACTCTGATGTCTGGATGTGGGAAACATCCTTTTTGGTTTAAAAGAAAAAGATTCTAGAAATGAACAGTTTTTTCTTGAGCAGAACTGAAACGGCAGCAATTGGCTTGCAAATAATTGATGAGGAAAAGTTAATGGATACTGGTATAAAATCAAGTAATAGCACATATCAATTTTATTTCCATGTTCTTTTGAGTGAGAATTAGAAAATGGAGGAGGGCAGTCTACAGCACAAGAGAATCACAGACTAGTTCTCACTTGTCCTGCAAGTCATTTGAGTGAAGGCAATAGCGCAGCAGCTAAAAACTCCACTGCAGTAAACCTCCCTCCAAAGTGCAGCTACATGTGGCCTCTTATCACTGCTTATCACACAGGGGAGGTGACATTGGTATTGGACCACTGCATTTGAGTTTTTTTATCTCTATTAAAGTGAAGTTCAAAGCTGCCTTTTTTTAAAAAAAAAAAAAAAAAAAATCAATGTTATTCTACAATTCTAACATAGAGAAGAAAAATCTATGATTGTGGAAATCAAGTTGCTTCAGGGCAGAAAGCAACACACAAAATACAGATAAAGGCACAGCAACTAGGAAAATAACGAACCACACCCATAAACACAAATATATCAGAAAATGATAGAGATTTTCTCACCAAAACCCACAAACATAGCCATAAGGCCTCAAAATAAAGCTTAATTACTATGCAGAAACTCTGTCCTGTGCTAGTTTCCACCAGAAGAAATGGTAGATCAGTTACAGATTTAGTAGTATTTGACATGTTCGCAGCATGTCCTGCCATACACACTCCAGTAAAACAGAACTCGGCTCTGCTCTAAATAATTTTCCTTTGCCCCAATACAGATACACCAAAATCCTCAGTAATTTGGCATAATTCAAAACAAAATGCAATTTCTTAAAGATCACCCTATGGAGTTTCATTTTGGTAACATCCTCTACCCACCAATATGCCACAAACAAGCCAGCTGCAAGCTTGTGTACGCAGAATTTTATCAGTGGAGCTAATACCTTGCCAATGACAAAATACTTGGCTAGGAGAAAAGGGGAAAAAAAGCCCTAAATCCTAGGTCTAGGATGGTTTTAAGTCACTCCTACATTTTGAAACCCATAAAAACAATACTGCTCTGCAGATGTCTCCTCCTCCTGTAACAAGCCTCTGCCAAAGAAGGGAAAAAAAATAGAAAATAATAGTATCACACAATCCGCTGCACTGATGTTAACCCACATAACCAACACATTTACATTACTTTTTTCCTCCCAAAGGCTTTAGTATGACCCTGCAACATGCTAGCTTTCCCTTGTTCACAATACACCAGTAAATGTTTCTGAATAATTCCATGCATTATAATGTTATGAAATAACATGTTCTACTCAACAAATCAAGGTAATAGTAATCGCCTCCTTTTGCGATGTTTGTGTCTCCAGTGTCATATCTTGTTCGCCTTTCATCATACTAGAAATGAGGACATCAGATGATCAATACTATGATTTACCTTTAGGAGATATTAATCTTTATTCCCCAGTTAATCTTTTCCCAAAGCTCAAATTACTACCTAAAGATGTTTTTTAAACAAACAGTCCTGTTTTACTAAGCAGCGAAATAACAGAAAAATTATTGCTTTTTTTTTAAAGCATAGAACACCAGAAAACCACCACAGAGATCCATCAGGAAAAAAAGAAAAAAGAAAAAGCAAAAAGTGGAAAAAAGCAAATCTGTTTTCCACAGAGTGAAACAATGCTTAAGACTAATTTTTATTTCTTAGGAATTACAATTAAATGAGAATTAGTGGCTTCTAGAATATTATACAGAAATTACAGCTGTGGAAGCAAATTAAGACCAGGAACCTTTTATTTACCTGGAATATGGAATTTTTCCACAGGAAAACTGCTTAGTTGTTCATATATTCTACTTTTCTCTTGTAAAAGAGTTTCTTTTAAGGCACTCTCCCTATGTCCTCGGGAATTGAGAGCCTCTAGGAGTTGGTCCAGTTGTTCCCGAGAATTGTAAAAGCACCAACGGTTTGGTTTATATACTGGCCTTGGCACCTCTACAACAACACTGGTGTGTGAATCTTGGTCAATATTGGAGGTAGATTCAGAGGATTTCAAAGACTCTCCAGTTTTACTGAATACCTGAGGTTCATTTGTGCAAGACTGTACACTATCCTGAAAGGAGGAGGTTCGAGGCAACAACATGTCTTCTGTGAGACCAGAATAGTCCTCTTCTATAAACAATCCAGGAACAGAGGGGAAAATCCAGTAGCGTCGATACAGACGGTCACGACCTAACGGGGTGATATTTGTGCAGGCTGTTGCATTCTGAATCTTTTCTAACAGTTCCTTTTCTTTCTTTTGTTGCTCCTGTTTTAAAGCTTCTTCGTCTTCAGCAGTAAGAGGTTCACTCTTTTCACAAGTGGTCTCTTCTTGTCTTGTAAATTCTTTATATCCGTTTTGCCCTCTCCTTCCTAAAAGTTAAAGGAAGAAGAACGATAGTAACACACTTAGAAATTCTTTCTTTAACGAAAAACTCAAGTAAAAGACAGGTTTTGGTTCTGTCTCTGATTATCTAAACTTACGACTTTCAAAGATCATGAGCTCAGTCAAGTAACAATACTAGTTTCATTAAAGAAGAATTCAAGTGATTAACCCCCTTCCCTCTATAAAGAGGAAGCCATCTTTAGTGTACTTTCACTTTGCAGAAACTAGACCAAGTCTCATTTACTGACATTGTCATTTTTAACACCATAAAAAAAAAACCCAAAATTTTAAGAACTTAAGTGTTATAAAAGTACCTTATCATGATAAGGTAAAATTCTAGCAATTTCATTATCGAATACAAAATATGTTTTGAACTTCATTTATCATACTTGAAATGATCAAAAACCCCCCAAAGACGTCAAGAAAAACCAGAATCCCTATATAAAAGCTCTTATTGCAAACTCAGTTACATTAACTTTATCCAATTTTTTTAAAAATACATATATATACCCACTATTTTTTCCCCTCAACTTGCACCAGCTGAAAATACTCCAGTTCGTATCTTAGTTTACCAAAGTATCAGGTCCTAATAGTCATCTAGAAAAGTACATCTTGTAATTAACACATGCAATGGTGAAAGATGCTGTCAGCACTCAATTTCTACCAATTTCCAGTGTGAACTTCAGTTTCTCCAATTGTAGGAATGAAATAACACTTTTTTGCCTTCCAGGCACAATGTCTGAAAAATGGGCATTTGAGAAACTTGAAATTCTGTTTTAAGATGTCATTGTTTTGCCATCATAAAGCTGTAGTAAACATGCAAACCTGTATTACTGAATTACTCAGAATTTCTATCCCAGGTACTGTTAGGAACTGTACAAGTTTTCAACCTTAAGTCCACAATGATCTGGGACTTTCATTGGCACAGACGCTAGCACAAAGCCTTCACGGGAGAAAGACACAGATGAGGTAGCAGCCCAAATCCATCAACAATTCATCCTCCTGGGGTGGTATCTTTGTTTAGTCACAAACAGCAGGCTGTGCTGTTTATTGCACCACAGCTCCTACTAGCACACTGCTGAGGAAATTAAATCTGGGGATACGTCTGGTTGCACTCTTGTGTAGAAGGCATGCTGCTTCATTAACAAAGGCAAACTAAACCCAACCACTCAATATAATGTTTTCTTTTAAAATACCTGTTGTTTTTGCAGCTTCCTAATAAAAAGGATCAAAACCACACCATACCCTATTTGATGAGACACCTACAACTCTTTTTTTTATTGGTACGCTACTCATAACTGTGATGGTTTGTCAGGCAACAGCCTGGGTTTTTTTAGACAAGAGAGGAATCCAGAGAGCAAGTATGGAAAATGAGGAGAAACAGAAGTGTGAAAGAACATACTGCTGACCACTAGAACTACATCAGGCCAGCTCAATACAATAAATAGCTCATTATGATCATGTTTGGGTAGGTTTTTTTCCCTTTTCCTTTAAAAATTTACAGGAAATATTGATACTTTATAAAAACTTACTATAAAACCCAAGAACTTCCCGGGTGCATGCATGGGTGCGTACATGTACACAAATGAACTAATATATTATCGCATTACCTCTTCCTCGTTTTTTGTTTGGTCCCAGCTCTTCTTCATCCTCTGTCACTGTGTCCATGTCTTGCTCTTTACGCTCAATTTCTTTGCTCTCTGTACTAGTATCAAGGTCTTCGCGTTCCTCCTCCCTGACACAATAAAATAAACAAAAGGTGACTAACTGACCAACCATGTATTAAAAGCTGAATGGAATGAAAAAAATACATGATTGAATATGGCATCTTCAAACAGTATTTTCCTCTCAGAAGTACTTAATCTAGTCAAAGACCTATAATGCTTTTTAAAAGTAAACTTTAAGTCAGAATACATTAAATCCAAGAAGAAACCCACTGAACTGCAAATGGAAGTTCCATATTAAAGACTAAAACTTGCTCTTTGGTATTCACTCTTTCATTTGAAGACCTTTATTATAATCAGATCCTTTTTGGAGATATCTTAGTGTAGTTCTACTGACTTGAGTTATTTTTTTCATGACTAAAAAAGTGTCTTGTCATCAAAATGTATACCCTTTTATAAAATGCTTATTACACATTTTTTCCCTCATCTAGCAAATATAATTGAAAACCTACAGAACTACATGCAACCATTACAGAATAACTTTTTTTTTTTTAATTATAGTTTCAAAACCAGCACAAATCTGTCTTTGGCCCATGCTCACCTTTTGCAAGCAGATTTATTTAACTAACTCCCTTCCTCAAGCAGGTAAAGATACAGTGTTGTATATACACTTTGCTTTTTTTTCTGGAATCCTATACAGCTGCATGTGCATGAATCTTACCACCTGAAACCATACAGTTTTATTAATAGAACAAAAAACTTTGGTTTTATGGAAATCACCTGGGATAGCACAGCATTTTTAAAAAAAATGCTATTAAATTTGATTCAAACTGTTATGTGAGGTCAGTATTATCTAGCTCAGATCAGACCAATTCCTCAAATTAGAAAACAAACTAAATGGTCTATTATGAAGATATTCATAGATAGGAAATCAATGCAAGACAAAAGGTAATGCAAAAATTACAAATTAGATTTTGCAAGTTTGTCTTGTCAGTAGGTAACAGTGTCAAGCTTTCAACAGAATTATGAGTATAATAAAAGTTGATTTAAAAAATATAATCACTTTCATAAAGCAATTCTAGAACACTAGGAAGAAAAATAAAATCAACATTAAGGGCTATATACTTAAATTAAAATATACCTTTGTATATGATCGAATCAATAAAAACTACATAGCTAATGTCTGGCCACATAACTGAAAAGTGCTGTATCGTATTTATCACAGTAATACCATGTATCATACCCAACAGATACTTCTACAGCAGGATTTCTTTGCTCCTCTTCCTTTAGCTTTTCTTGTTTCTCTTTCATTTTTAACTCTTGTTCTTTTAACCTTTCTTCTTTCCTCTTACGTATCCTAATAGCGAGAAGAATACAGAAAACCAGTTGCAATTAATCTAGTATCTGATCTGGCCACGTCTTTTTTTCTGTTATGCTACAACATCATCTAAAAATAACAGTAACATGGGAAAGGACAATGCTTAGCACAATAAAGTTTCATTCCCGTCTGCAGTTTCAAGAAACCAGTATAAAAAACAAACACTACTACTGTTTCTCATATGCCTTTTGTAATTGAGGAATTAATCTAATTTGTAGCAACAAAATTTAGCTTTCCATATCCTAGTTTTACCTTGCTGCTGCCGCCTCTCGTTCTTTGCGATGCTGTTCTGCCTTTAATTCTCTGAACTCCTGTTTTGCCTGTCGTAACACATCAACAGAGTCCTCAATGAAGTCTCGAGTGGAGACGAGAGTCAGAAGTTTCCCACAGAGGGCATGAAGGATCTTCATCTTTTCTCCTAATAAAATTCAGACCAATTTTATTTCACTATACAACTGATAAATAAGCCTTACTCTTACTCACTCCAGACTGAAGATTGATTCTTACTCAAGAAAAAGTGAACAGTCAAACATCTGTAGTGCACCAGCTGTACTTGCAAAGAGGCATTTCCTGAAATATCTGGTTTGCTCAGAGATGCAAGCCTTTATTTTGAATTTATTAACTTTCAGCAACGAAAGAAGAACTAAAATGCAGTATTATCTTCAAAATGGAGATAAAGAAACAGTAGATGGTAATTTTTTCTCTATCTCCAAATAATAAACAAAAGATCCAAACCAGAACAGCAATAAATAGCAGGGGCTGAATCAAACACTCAGATGCTTCTCTCAGAGAGATCCCTTTCTGCAAGTAAAACTAACATTTGTTTAATGAGAATTAAAAAAAGCTGCTCAGAAGTAATGAGACTGCCTAGCTCTGCAATCTCTGATCTGGTGGCACCTGCTTGTGGGGGCTGGAGCATAGCGGGTGGGTGTTGGTCTAGGTGACCTCCAGAGGTCCTTCCCAACCTAAATTATTCTACGATAGAGTAAATTTGGACCATTATTGATCTGAAGCAGTTACAAAACCAATCACTTGATAAGCAACCTAATAATCTCTAACATTTATTGTCTTTTATTACCTGGCAACAAATCATACACTGAGGTACTTGAAAGTTTCTTCAAGAGACCAGGATTACTTAATCTCAGCTCCATGCAAGCATCATCAGTAGCATCAAACCCTCCTCGTTTCTGGTAACGGTATTTTGCATTGGCTGATGTTACATCAGCACCTGACGCTAGAATGTGAAGTCTGAGAATCTCAGAAAGAGTGCAGCTATCAAGATCCAAGTTTTTCAAATTGCAGCCTACAGTTGAGAAGAATGAACAGTTATTTTATATAGACATTTAAATGTATATAAATATAAAAAATATGCTTTAAAATACAGAGCAAAATAAGAACAGTAACAAAACAAGAAGTGAAACCCACACATACCCTGATGTAACTGGGGCCATGCAGCTGCCAAAGTTGCAACTGCAGACAGTGCAGATTTTGTGGGGTCTGCATCTTCATCCAAAGCCTCTGTTAAATCTTTAAGGAAATAAACACTTTATTCTAATGCAAATTAAAACTTGTACTGTGGAGGGGAGGAAAGCAAGCCGTTTCTTAAAAGTTGCAGACAAAGCAAAAAGAGGGCCAATATTTAAAAAAGCATCAATATATTCAAAACTCAATTCAACATCCAAGTTAAAATTTATATATCTTTAAATGCAACTAAAAATCCAACTAAAAACTAAGGACATGCACCACATGCTATACGCTGTTCTCCCTTTATATAAGCTGTTAAAGCAACCCCAATGCACAAAACATGCACAATGGCAACATAAAAGGCAGCAAAACCCAATCCATAAATGCACTTGAAAGCAAAAACAATAACTATGCAAGAACACCTGTATTTTGTTCCCTCGAATGAACTGTTACTTCCTATCATCATTTGGTTTTCAGGAAAGACCATCCAAACCAATCAGACATTTAAATATTGGTTATCACCAGTCACTGTATACTTTTAATCTGTAACTTAAATACAGCCTTACTATTCTGTACAAATACAACCACTAAGGCATTATAAAGAAACCATATTCCACCAAAACAAGCATCTGCACTTAATAAGGAGCATCACACATTAGCAAACTGACCAGGAAAGCAGGGCAGTGAAAGGGAGAAACAGCAAAATTCCTGTTTCTTCGACAAAAGTTTCCTTAGCACAGGTATTTCTCCAGAGGGTTAGCAGAATTTTTTCAGCCTTGTATGCTGTTTCAACAATTTCACTTCATTCAAGTCCAAATCATTAAGCAGTTACAAAGTCACCAAGTCAATAAAGAGCCACAAATCCAAACTAAGACTACATAAAAAGCAAATCCACAAGTCTTGTATGATGACTGATGTTGTTTGAAAACTGTTACCCAGACATTGCAAAATTAACCTCTGCACCTCCCCTCTCGCCTTATCTGTATAACACCATTTGAGAAAGTACTGTACACACCAAAACCCCACACCCAAGGTGTTTTCTGTTGCAGAAACACTGCCTGTACAGAATTTAAGTGAGCAAACATGCTGACTACTACTAGCTTAGGCAGAATTACAAAGCTGAGAACATGTAATTCTTTTAGGGGAAAGAAGATGTCTACACAAGAGTGACAAGAAATGAAAGTTCGAAGGCAAGTAAGAGATAATAGACAAAGTGCCCCACCCACAGCTCTGCTAAACTAGAAGCAAAATAGCAGATTTTTGCAATTGCCAGCCCCATATAGTCACACTAAAATATGAAAGTTACATTTTTTTCTGATCAGTCCTATGAATAACAAAGAATCTAATCAACTATTCTATGATTACCTGATAATGGAATCCTTGCTTATATTGCCCAAGCAATGCTCTCAGTAGTTAAAAGACACAGTTTAATTGCTGAATGCAACAGTAATTAAAATACAGTCTAAATTTGTTAACACCATATCAGATCTGTAACTTTATTCAACTAGCAAGAGCAGACTCTATTGCTGAAGATAGTGCCCATGTTTTATGTAAAGACCGTATTGGACATAAATCTTAAGCATGAGAATATGCATAGTCTTGAAGGGAGGAATTAAAGGAATCTTCCTGTACTTCATGCATCTGTCTTATCAGGGAACCACAGGATTCACGTGACCTCAAACGGAGCGCTCTTATGTTCTGGTCTACCTCTAATGAAATAAAGACTAGCAGGAAAGGTCAAAGCTTCTCCTTTAACTAGTCAGCAAATCTGGCAGTCCTGAAACACAGGACCGCATAAATTTGGAACCAAGCCTGCACTTCCTTCTGATCAGTGGTTAGTGTATACCAAACGCCTCTGAAAACGTGGGCAACTTCAGCCTTAGAGCGAAGGCCAAAGGCAGAGTGACTGTGAGATCCTTACTGGAAAAAACACAGCAACATGGTAGTATCTTGGAGTTGTGGATGCATACTTCCAAGTCTTGAAGGACAATGAATATTGAATTCTCCATTATAGTTGTGCTGCGGAGTTTTAGTTTTTAATCTAGTCAGGTCCAGATTTATTTTTTTATAGCTATAGGTAAAAACCTTTGAGAAGATTTAGGAAAATGCCTTGTTTCCTGACCCTCAGGAGAAATATCTAACAGTGCTGAAGGAAGAGAAGGAAGGTGAAGACAAGTTTCCCTCACCTTCAAAACATAAGCAGTGCTGTTAAAAGCTTATTATGCATTGCTGGATACAATCCTAGTAACAATGAGCTTGCTTTTTCTCTCTCCCCCTCCAGACCCCACCCTCTATGCCCAGTTTAAAGCTCTCATTTCAGATAAAAGAGAAAAACCAAGTCCATTTACATACAGTATCAATGCATAATAAGACATGGTTAAACAAAGGAATGCCATAAATCATGCAGTTTAAAGTTAATTCCAGTGGAATTTCAGTTTTTCAGCAGTAAAATTAAGGATCTGACCTTTGGTCTCAGCATCAGCTATTTGATCTTTGGCCACTTCCTCTTCCTCTTCGGCCATTGCCTGAAAGATGGCAGTCAGGAAGAAAAACAGCAATTCACATAGTGGGCCTTCAGTGTCATTTCCTACAAGAGCTTCCTCTAAAACTTCTGTGAATAAAGTTTAAGAAGCGTCACTTTTGCCGCAAAGTTGGAAAATGATTATGTACTGAAGAATGAAAACATTTTTTTTTTCCTTCAGGTATGATAATCAAGTTACTTTTCCATAATTTACTGCAAATATTCCTAAGGTGACGGTGTCAGAAAGAGTGCTGACAAAACATTATTTTCTTAATATATAACTGCAAGAATAAAGTACAAGTAGACATTTTAATAAGTAGATTAACAAGCTTCTACATTGAAATTAATTTTGATTTTATAAACACTGCAGAAGTTGACTGTGAAGAGACAACTGGATTGATATGCACGTGTAAGCACTGACATATTAAAGCTGCACAGAAAATTTTGTAGCACTGGTACTTGGGTGCACTTAAGATGTTTGGTGGTTTGATTGGAGAAGGGACACCACAAAATTGGGGCACCTTGCCACGTAAACAACAACTTGCCTAAAGTCACTCCTTCAGGAAATTCATCTTGAAGATCAAAAAGTTCCCCAAAAGCATATAAAAACTCCAAAACCATCAGAGCATCACCAAAGATCTCAGGAGGAAGTCTCGTCTTCACTGGCATTGGAATGGGAAGTTCCTGCAATCCAAATGGGACAACTTAATATTGTATCTACTTTCTGAGAGTACACAAATGATTAAAACCAAACAGTCTATGATTCTAAGGGGTGTATGTGTTCAGATTCTTCACATTTTACTGCAAATAGTTCTGCAAGACACATAATCAATTATCACGGTAACATCTGTGGTAGTATTAACTTTAAAAAACAAAGAGCATGCAACTTGGACGTAAATCTTTTGAGATCAAAGTTTATCCATGTTCATGAAGTTGAATGATTTTGTATCTTTGTTTAAAGGAACTCAAACCCACTACAATTTAAGAACACTGGCTGCCAAGATTTTTCCTTTAAACCTGTATTGTTTCACAAGAGTTTTGAGTTTTAAGTTTGCTGGAACTGTCCAGACAAGCAAAAATAAACATATTCTTAAAAAAGTTACTCATTATTGCTTGCAAAGACAAGCAAACAAAAACCCAACACATTCACATAAAAACACACCCATCTAATACTAGGATATGCAAGATCATGTCTAATGACTGAGTGTTCTGGTATTTGGGTTTTTGTGTTGGTAAGGCAGTTATGATAGCCGAAGACATTTTAAAGGGAGATGATGTAACCATGTAACAAGGCCACTTAACAGAGACACCACAGATGACCGTGTCTAACACTGAGTTTGACTTTCAAATTAGTAGCTTGATGTAACTCTTCAAGATTTGTCTTCACTTTATGTTTCTTAACAGTCAAACAATTTCCAGAAAGATGGCTCCTTTCCACAAAGGTGATAGTTCACAAACATTAACGACAAGAATGCCAAATACTATGCTTTGAGAAGAACACAGTAAGGTGTTTCACACATTTCCTGCGAAGGCAATTTTTTGAAATGAAGTTCTCGCCTAAACTCATCTTCATTCATATTCTTGTCAATTTTCACTGTAGTGATGATAACACTTTTCCACCCCGCCCTTTTTCTTTTCCAATTGAAACATAGCAGCACTGTTTTGCACAGCTTCCTCTCGTTTCAACAATGCTCGTCCCCTTCTTCAGTTTCTTCTCCCTTTCTATATACAGCTAAGAGTTTTCACTCATCTTCAACAGCCTGTACGGCTCTCCTTGCAAATATATTAAATTCTCATATTCCTCCCAACCAGTGCTACCACTTCATTTAACACTCTCCTCTATTCCCACTTGTCCTCTTTGCACTTCTGTCATGTTTCCCTGTGTACCTCAAATAAACTCCCTTTCTTGTGTTTCGGACAGTTTTGCCTCCCTTTAGTATCCCCTGCCAAAATTAATCATGATAAAGTATACATAAATATATAACACTAGAGAATGTTATGTACAATACTCTTGTTTAGAACATTAAGTTCTTTGGGAGGTAAATTCTTGCTACTTTCTATAGGTTTCCAAGATCATCCAGAAAGATGCTCATTAAGCAAGGATACTGCTAGAGTTTAAATCAAAAGAATGCCACAGGGAGTAACAAGGTAATGTCCTTTCTACCTTTTGCAGACAAAACTGATTTCTTCATTACTCAAATCTTTCAAGTAACTCAGGTTTACTCTAGGTAAGCTTATCTTGTATATTTAACAGAAAAGTCAGACATACTCAATAGCCCCCACTCAGTAAGGTCAGCGCTTTAAAAATACATCTGTTCCATGTTAAGACTGAGAACAGCCTGTTCAGACTGGACTTCTCAGTCCAGAAGTTTTTCTCGAGGGTGAAAATGCAGATGATCCTATTAGCATCGCCACAGGGAAACATTACATGACTGCAGGTGATTCACAGCCCCGAGCATTCAGATCAAATCTAGATCTACCTCTGCATTAGGGAATCTAGTTTGAGGACCCTGTAAAGTACGAGCTTGAGCTATTCCAAATTCAATCATACCTTAAGATCATCACACTCCATATCTTCTCTAGGCTTACTCCACTGTTTCAGGTATTCCACATATTTTCTTTTTTCTTCACGCAGCTTCTCTCTTTCCTGAAAAACATTGTCACAATTGTATATAAAATATGGTCAGATCACCCTATTACAGTTTCTGGAACTGCACCACTTGCTATTTCAATCACACTGAAAAATAAAACTAAAACATATTTAATTAGAATGAAATAATCTAATAATTTTTATTTTGTATAAGAAGATATTGGCAAAAATATTTAGAGTAAATTGTGGCGATACTTTGTTGGATTAGACATGGGGTTTTGTTGGTTTTTTTGTTTGGTTTTTAAATGGAAGAGGCTGAGCAAAATATAGCTAAAAATAAAGAGTATTTATGAAAGTTGCCACAAAGAAAGACCATCAAAATAGAGAGTGGACATGGCTGTGGTAAAATATAGTGGAATAAATAATTTCTTCATATTCAAAGTGACAAAAAGTTATTTAGCAATTTCCATTCAAAGAGAAAACACAAGGAAACCCACAACCATTTAATATGCTGTGAATCTGATGCAGTACAGTGTCTTTAACACTTCAGTAGAAGACAACCATCAAATCAAATACTGTCATGCATTATTGGCAAAAAAAACCCAACCCAAACACCAAATTACTTCAGAAGTAAGTTCAAAGTGAACTTTTTGTAAACTAAAATTATAATATAGAGAACGTCATCCTGAAATACAAATCCATAATCGTATCTTAAAACTGCCTGGTCTTCTAGAGTGCATTTCTATGAACTGAAAACAGTTAATGGAAAATAAGTAGATAGCAACTAAGAAACAACTAAACTAGAAAGCCATTATACTGTTCCTATATGAAACACATATACTGCAAATGCATTACTTTTTCCTTTTCTATTTTGAGTCTCTCTTTCTCTTCTTTCTTCTTCATCCTTTCTTCTTCCACAATCTTCTTTAATTCTTCTCTCTTTTTTTCCTTATCTTCTTTCTCCTTTTTCTTAGCTTCTATAGCATTTGCCTTCTCTCGTTTTAATTTAGCTTTTTCAAAAGCTATTAAAGGAAAAAAATAAACCAAAGTTATTTCTTTTATAAAATGTTTATTTTATTTAACAGTGCTAAACACTGATCTTTTTATAATTACCATAGGAAAAAGATATTGTTATGAAGACTGAATTGTTTCTATGCCAACCAGAAATTCAACCACTTGAAAGTTCTTTAAAGAATCAGAATTTTAAGCCTAAGTATTATACATGTTTTACAAAGTTGTCATCACTGTAGTAAAGTCAAATTTCTCTGTTTTTATGAGTATACAGAAGTTTCGTACTTGTTCATTGGTTTCTATCAAGTTACATATGAAGATGAGAACTGATTCCAACCACATATAATTACAGCAACATATTTAGTAATGACTGCTTAATAAAAGCATGTCACAACTAGGTGTGCCATATAACCATGAAATAATTGTGATAGTAAAAACTTTAAGTAAGTGATCTTTAAATATTTAATTATTATTGAATTACTGAAAAGTCAATACATTTGAAACCTACTTAGTACTTCAGTGGTTTTCGTGCAAGTTTTACTTCTGTTACACAGTTTAAGCTGAACTTTAATTGGTAATAAATGTTATTGCCTGAGGAGAACCAGATTTCTTTGTAGTTGTCTGCAGAAGAACAGCAGGATACAAATTTCCACTTTCTGTGGACAGACAGTGTCTGTCAACCCACACACAGGCTAACAAAAGCGGGTCGGGGGCTTACCATTTTAATTGAATAAACAAGCAAGCTAGAATCACAAGTGAAGAAAATGAAAAAACATCCTTACTTCTATTACCAAGTGGCTAGCACTGAAAAAAGGATTTTGATTACATTTTCCTACAAAATTCTGAAAATGGGCTAGATTGCTTTTACAGATAGCTAGTACACATACCAGCCATGTCTCTCACCCAGCAAACAAAAGCAGCGAAGCTGATCCCCCATAGTCTTCTACATAGTGAGAAGGTTGATTTTTCAATGTTCTTAGCATTTTGCTGCCTTTTCACATCATTAGTAACGTACCATAGCAGCTCTTTACAGGAGACTTTATGAATGTCAGTAATTGCCATTCCAATTAAACATTATTTACAGGTTAAATGTTTAGATTAATATTAAATTACATTAATATAGTATATCTGGAAGTGTACTTTCAGGCTTATTGTATGGATGGGATCATACTTTTCAAACAACCGGTATAACATGTTGCCAGTTTCAAATTAAACTGCATCTTTAAAAAAAAACAAAACAAAACCAAACCAAAAACAACCCCAAACCAACGAACATTTATAATCATGGGCCAACATTGGGGCAAAAATGAACACACAGAACAAGTGTGACACCACAATATATTTTTTTTTAATTATTACTTATTTGATGCATTCATCATTATTTTACATCCTCAACAAAGAACAGAAAGCATTTACAAAGTCTGAGTATCAACATGCTGTGACAGCTTTCTAGTGTTGTGGCAGAAAATATAAAGAATATATTTGGTTCTCCATGTTATACAACTTATTTCAAGGCTGATTGCTCTTTCATTGTTTGAACCTGTATGTTTCAAGGGCATTGGGTTTTGGGGTGCAATAGGATAACACAAAAGATAAACTTGAGCCAGCATGTGTCTTACCTAGCCTTCTAGAAGCTCTAGTTAACATCACACAAGAAAGGAAGTAGCTTTGATGTTGATAAGCTATTACCTTGTTCTGGGCTGTCATTTCCAGCACATAAACAAATAGATGCTAGTTGTGCAAAAAAGTGGACACAAGTTTCATGGAGCCCTATCGTCCCCACCTCCTATGAAGAAAAGGCCCAGAGCAGCCTCAGACAACTTTGCAGTTATTTAAGCAGATGTTGGACTAGATAATTTCCAGACATCCCTGCCATCCTAAAACATTCTGTGATAATGGCAACAAGAGGTAGAAACCAGAAGTTCACTGAAATATTTCCACAGATGAAAGCCTTTCCTTAGGAAGGACATCAGTGCTTACAATCCAGAAGAACATCTCCTTGTCTGAGCTTTGTCTCCTCAAAAAGACACACCAATTAACCCAATTCAACCCATACAAAAGGCATGTGGGTCCCCTTACTTAATTTGAAATCAAGTTTAAATAGACCAGAAACAGGTCAAAACCAAGCAAAAAATAATTCAATCAGTCCGAAATAAGAATCTCTTAAGTGATTTGTGCTCTTTCAGTTAGAAAAGTTTGTAAACATACTATAAGTAATCTTGCAGAACATTTAGACATACCTTAAATATCAATGCACAAACATCTTCAGAAAGACTCAAGATTTTCTTAAAGATTATTACAGGTTTAGAAAGCATTACAATTCTTCTAAATTTTGAGATAGTTTCTCCATTTACAGATTTTCCTCATACAACAGATTGATTTGTGTCAAATGTTCATGTTTCAGCTGGTAAAACTTACACATGACTTCACAAATCAAACTTCTGCAAAAATTTATTTTGCTCTTTATTTATCTGAGATAGAAATCAACACAACCCAACTGCAAGTTTCCTACATTTCCCCAGTTTAGAGTAAAAAAAAAAAAAAAAAAAAAAATTCAGGAAACAACCATTCTAACCACCGAAAGGAGCACTTCGCAATAGTGCTGTGGTGCTACACTCTTAGTACACCTTCCCTTTGAAAGGAACAACCCCAAAAATACTCTAATTATGGCCTGCTCTCAGAGCTACAAAAACTGGTTCTACTAGTCACACGACTAAACCTCAACTTACCCATGGCCTGCATATCTTCTTTTTGCTTCTGGAACCTTGTCTTTTCCTTTGCTACTTTACTTTTGTTTCCTTGGGTATTTTGTTTAGCAGTAATATCGTCCTCCTGACAGAGAATTCAGAGGGGGAGCAGAAAAAAAAAAAAAAAGAACGTAATATCTACAGTGAAATGACTAGCAACAGATATTCCAAATTTTTCAACAGTTCTCTAAAACAAGAATAAAAACAGGCTGTAAGAGTTTCCCACAAACATACTAAGTCCTCAGAGATCCGGTGTAATAGTTGGGGTGGGGTGATGGCAGACAGGACAGGGAGAAAAACCAAAACTTCTTCTTCCAGCTTTCTTTTTAAATAAAGTAGTTTAGAGCACCAAGCTTCGCTGTGTTTAAACACAGGCAAGTGACATAACTGTATCTGAGGGCAAGTGACATAATTGTATCTAAGAGTACAAGTTAAAGGTTTTTAGCAAATTATTTATTAATCATTCTCAGAAGGGACAAGTACTCTATGCGCCTTCATAACACACTGAAATGCTAGTTTCTTGGTGGGATCACAGAAATAAGAAGATAACACTGAGCATGGTCCCTTTTACCAGCTTAACTATAAAACAATCTACTTTAATAGCAATTATGTAATATATCCCAATTCATCCTCAAAGTAAAAAAGCACATCATCAACCTTGCATTCCAACTGTTCTGAAAGTTCACGGAAAATGGAAGAACTTAAAGACTATGCTGATATGTCTTCATCTGGAGTTAAAAATGCTATTACTTACAAGACTAGAAGATGCCCTCTTTGGAGGTCTCCCTCGCCGTCTGCTTGCGGGACTGAAGATAAATGTGGGTGGGTCATCAGGAAAGAAGTAGGAGAAATTTTGTTCTGCTAGATTGTATTTTGCAATTGATGTTGCCTTAATAAGAAAGATGAAAACAGGTATTCATTGTGAAATTCTTACCTTTTCATAAATACAAGCTAATTAATGAATCATTAAATCACAAAAAAAAGACAATAAAAGTAACTAGATTCACAACTGGTTAGCTTAGAATAAGAAATAAAACTCTGAAATAGTGTAAGTGTAGAGTTAATCCACCAAGTGGATAGTAACGTAAGCAGCACACATCTGAAAATAGAATTTGGTCTCATTTCGTAAGCTTTTATTTCTTTAGATGCCTTTTAGCAAGCACAGCTGGACACAGTCTTCCTAGCAAGTTACTGAAATGTATGGAGAATGACTTTTGACAGAGAAAGCCGGAAAATTAATTTACTTAAGAATGACATAATCCTCTATCTACTTAAATATTTCTGGAGGAGAAGAAAATTTATGACTTTTCTCATTCTGAATTGTCAAAGTTTCTTTTCAAGTCGGCTTTCTCAACCTGGTGACTTCAGGAAGTCTGCCCTTATCAACTGATACAGATGAGGATACAAAGGAGACACTCCAAACAGGACATGTTCATATAACTGCTGAAACGCAAGGCAATCAGCAAGGGAACAAGTAGCCACTCCACAAAAAGCTCAGACAAAGAGAAGATGACAAATGCACACATATACAGAGTATTACAACCTTCCTGAGGCACCAGAAAGTACTGCTAATAGATCACTAGACCCAGCGCACTGTATCACATCAAAGACAACATGATCACTAACAAGCCCAAGGAAGGGGGTGGTTTATCCCTTTCAGTGTTATTTTCTTCTATTTCCATTTTTTTAAAAGAGACAGACTTTAAAGTTAGAAGCTTATTTAGAAATTAGTTGCCTTTGTTATTTTCCACAACATTCAGAGGCAAGATTCTCATTGATGCTCTCATCTCTCAGAGCTTTCCTGTGCAGAACGAGCAGTTACACAGCTGTATGAGGATTTCTCTTAAACACACACACAAAATACAAAACATAATAAACTAACATGCTCCTTTCTAAAAACACAATGAAGAGAAGAAGGATGTCAGGATCAAGGCTGCAATACACAGTGAAAGAGTCCAGGATCTCCTGTGGTACAGCAAGCAAGGCAAGGGAAATTGCTGCTTACTTCGTAAGTGTGGGAACAACTGCTCAATTCCTTGAGCACCAGGAAACAGAAATTCTCTGCACAGCCATCCTGCACAGACTAAGATGTGAACTTTAGTCTGAACTTGTACTAAGTACCACCATATATCTCCATGTAAGATGAACAAAGATATGCATCTTCAACATCTAAGGGCTCATCAAAAGCCCATTCCAGCCACCTGAACTCTTTGGTACTTCTGTCTCACTGAAGAACTATAGAGACTGAATCCAATCTACAATAAGATAGTTTCCAGCTAAATGCATTACAACAGAATAGTATTAGGTTACTGTACCAAACCAGAAATAGTTAATTTCTGTTTAACTCAGAAATACCAGCTGCATACCTTGAAGAATGAAAACAACTCATGTGTTTGACTAAGCAAAAATATATTACATTTTAATGAATAACATTTTTCTGGGTAAAAGCTCCCATTTTTATTTTGGGGACTTTTCTAAACTAGTAGTTAAAGAAGAAATTAGAGAATTAAACTCTGCTTCATCTACAGAAAAAATACCACCTTGTTTACAAGCAAAAGTTAACAGAAACCTGTTTTTACAGAAAAAGTTGCAGTATTCATCATTTTATTTTGGAAAAGCCAAATACTAACTCAATATATTACACTTACAAAAAGCTAAGCTTGATGTAGTTTAAAAAAGCAGCTCTGAGCAGCTAGTAGAGACGAGCAAGAAAAAGACTGAGTAGGTCAATATTTTATCCCACAAATTATTCCTTCTTATTTACCTTAGTTTTAATGACTCCATCATGCGGTTCACAGTGTTGTTTCAGAAAAAGTTTAAGTCTATCACGAGAAAAGAGATGTTTCCTCCGGCTGTATTAGGAAAGAAAGGTAGCATTAGCAACTAAGACCTATAATTACTGTTTAAGTACAGCGGACAATATGTGCAAGAACACGTAACAGATAATATGATTGACCTTTTTTCTCATTTTCTTAATTATAAATTACACCCTTACTATTGTAACTAACAGGCATTCTTTGCAACCACAATTCAGTTAAGAATTTCCTTATGAACAAAACAAAACCCAAGTAATACTTAAACAGTTGTTTTATGCATCTGTAATTTTTGTCCTGAAGATCCTGGCATGTCCCCTTTTATACACACATACAGGCAAACTCCACAGTCTATTCATCCCTGCTAGATCCCCCTAACATTCCTTTCTATCACAGTACCTTTTAAAATCCCCAAATAAAGCTAAAGTCCTGTTGTTTCAGATGAGGGTGAAAACAAACAAGGACAGCAGGAAAGCAGCATTCACACCTCTCAGACAGGGAGGTAAGGCACAGAAGTGTCAAGCCAACAAGTGAGAGGAGTGAATTCACACCCTGCTTGATCAGGCTGTGGCACTCCTCGCTATAGGACAGTGTGCACTCTAAAAGCTTCCTGGCATCCCAGGGAACCCGCACTACTTCATGGCAAGAAGAAAACCAAGTACACAGGAGCAGTTAATGAAAAAACTAACCTCGATCCATGCTGGAACTAAATTACTTGAAATTACAGAAGTTTTTTTTTTCAAAGTATACAGTTTATAAAGTTTTGATGCACCATCTACTCTACGAAAAATGTTTTAACTAAATTCTAGACAAAATCATGTTCTTTAAGAAGCAAAAACTCTCTGTGGCTTTCTATTTTAAAGCAGTAAGGCAGTCTGATTGCCGGTGTCTGCTCCAACACTTCGAACCAGTAATGCTACCACACAGAGAGAGAGCTCACAATGCCAATAGTTCATCAATATTACAGAATAGGTTTCACCTACTCCATCAGTCACAGCAGTAGGCACAGGTATCAGAAGCAACAGCAGGTCTCATCTGTGTGCCAGCGAAAGCAGAGACTTGTAAGGAGTGGGTATCTGTGTTAATACTAGTGAAGCTTGGAACCCTTGCTACAGAAAGCCTGTGAAACACAGTATTTTGTTACAGTGCCTCTAACTAGTAGTTCTAACACACTAATTTAAAATGCCATTTTCTATCAAAAACATCTTACAGTGACTTACACAACTCAGTTATAAAGTACAGTTTTAACTTTCATATACTAATTTTTACCTTAGTTGAGATGCTTTAACAATAACAGTTTCATATAGGTCTTTTTTAATAGGTTGGACTTTGTATTTGAACAAAGAAGGATCAATTATGGCTTTCTTCTCCCTAAAATAAATTTAAAAAATTAAAATGTTAACTACAATCACAAAACATCAGTCTTGTATTGTACACATTTAATATATTTATATGCATACACAATGGACCTCTTGAAAATACCCAGCCATATTTAACACAGGCTGTAACTTCCACTGGTACCAAAGAGGACCTATTCACTTCTGCCAACTTTCTTGCCACTAGATTTAGATCTGCATCAAAGCCAGTTCCTGCAAGGAACAGGAAAAGGGATCAGGAATGTTCATTTTCTTAGCAGGGAGATGGAAGATGAGAAGGGAAGGAAGAGCAAAGAGGAAAACAAGTAATAATACATCCCTATCCCTCAAAAAATCGTCTCCTTAATACTCTCAGTACTCATGATGGCAACAGAAAGGCAGGAAAAAGGAGAAAAAGATGATGAGGAAGGAGTCCAAAAGACAGAGTTATATAAAATGAATAAAAATAGTACCCATAGAGCTACAGATCACGTCTCGAATAAAAAATAGGTAAAATATTTTTCTGAAATATCAATTTAGAAAAAACACACTCACCAACAATGTTCTGAAAATAGCAGGAATCATAAGGCAATGCATCTACACTTTAAAATAAATGCTTATCAAGCTACATTTTTTTTCCCCCAAAGTGTACTTCCCTTTTACAGCTATCAGCTACAGAGAACTAGATTTTTTTCCCCTATGGAAAATATTTCTTCATTTTTAACATAACTTCACTGTTCTCTTAACACCTCTTCCTAGGAGAGTAACCACCCAGGTCTGGTGTGCTACCAAAACAAAAATTCCTTTAAAAAACAAAGGGAGGGGTTTTGCCATAGACAACATACTTTAAATAGTGTGGTGTATTTATGGACAGACTTCATGAACAGAGTTAAACTACTGAGATTTGCTTTAAATAATGTTGCATTTTGCTATTGAACAACAGAACTAAATTCTCCTAGGGTGGTAATTTGTCATCAGAAGTCATACTGCTTTATCAGGAAGAATCCAACCATCGTCTTATTTCATCAGTAAGGGAAGGTAAAGAAATTACATGGATGAACTAGGAGATTTACAGCTATGCATTTCATCATCATTGTCAGTCCTTCTGGCATTTACAAAATGCTTGAAGGTGGAGTCTTTGACAAAACAAAATAAATCAATATACCACTTGCTATTCTTTACCCCTATGAAGAGCACACACAATATGTAGTGAACTGTACTTTGCAAGGTTTTTGAGTATGAAATTTGCTCCAATTCCTCTTTCCCCCTACCACTAACTCTGAAACAGAAGTCCAAAGAAATGCAACATTCAGATGCCTAATAATAAATACATTAATTCATACAAATGAAGTGTAAAAGAAACAGTACTTATCCACACTTGGTGTCATTTTAGATGAGAATAATTTGCAAATTTCTGGAGAAAAATAGTTTACAATGATTAAATGATCAACACAGTTAAAAACAAGTGAAAGGACAGAAAAGAAGATTTAGACTTGGAAACAGCAACGTGTCTGCTGGACCTACAGGTAAGCATTATGACATACACGGTCTGCCTTGCATGATGCTATCCAAGTTAAAGTCTCAAGCTGAGTCACTCAGACCATCCCCAATCTAAGAAAATAAAAAAAAAAACCCAAAAAACACAAAACACCCTGATAGTCATATTAGCAAAACAGTGATAAACTGTATAAACATAGCAATGCAGTATACCCACTGGCAAGATTTTAACATCTCTGTCTATAATTTTAAGTTTGTTAAAAGAGGGTTAGTATTTTGGTCATACCATGACTTGGTCTTCCATCATCATCTTCGGTCTCCAGATAAGAAAGCTAAAGTAATGAAGGCTGTTGCTAGGAATTTCTGCATAGGATCAAGTATAAACTTGTTCCCTCACCATACACCCCTGCATTTCCAGCCCTTTAGTCTAACAAGCTACAGGACCCAAAACACATTAGTGTTCAGATACAAAACAAAAGGCAGAGTGCCAATGTCATACCAAAAGTATATTAGCTTATTTATACATTTTTAATAGATTCTAAGCTCCAATACTGTCTGTAATCAAAAGCAGGGCCCAAAGAATAATCAAATGGTTAACTCTTGTATCGTTAACCTTTACTTTTTAGTTTGAGTTAGTCCTTCTCTCACCTTTAGTGGATCACACATAATAGCCCCAACCTAATTTCCAAACACACTAAGTTTTTTCTGCTTAGTCTCTCAGTTTCCAATGATTATCCTAAGAAGTTAACTTATTCCTCCATAAAACCAAATTTAAAGTAAAAATTTTGTTTAGTGCAAAAGAGGAAGAAAAAGGTCATTCAGTACATGTAGAAAGCTTTAAAAATTATACAGATTATCTAGTCGCTTTGGCATAGAAGTAATAATAATTTTTTTTTGTTATATTTTACTTTATAAACCATTCTATAAAACACGTAAGAGTTAGCAAATGTTAGACCCATTTTGTAGCAGAGATCCCCTACAGCAAGTCTTCACAGGACAGCTCTGAGAGACCACCAGATCCAGAGAATAGAATACAGAATATCTTGTAACTTACTAGGAGAAATCTGGAACTGACTTACCCATATTGTACTAGTTTCTCTTGCACTCAAGTAAACATGCCTGACACCTGGCAGAGTCTTGCATTTTTTGAATGAGGTTATTCTGAACCACTGACAGATAATAATCTCACCAGCCCTTCAGTTACTTTGGCACGGTGACCACATGACCTGGATATAAATTTCTGCTTACAGTTCTGCTGTACTATATTCAGACAGCATGGTCTTAAGGTAGCTTTACCAAGAAAGTTCTGAGATCTTGTTCTTCTGAGTTACCTTGTCCAGGACATGACTATCTATACTATCTGGTCCGAGTCCTGCTGAAGCTACCTATATCTTGCAGTATCATTGAACTAGAAAAATTGCACAGAAAATATTGAGGGTTAGAGCATCAGGAGTGTACCTAAAATGAATGCTGTCCTGCTTTTCCAAAAAGAGACAGTGGCTTTTCTGCTTGTCTTTGATTAAGTGTGGGAACAGAAAAACGTCCCTTGAAGAATGCTAGCCAAGTAACACAATCATTTATGGTCTCCTTATGCTCCAGTGCAAGCCTTACACAGAGGTAACCCGTCAGTATATTCATCCTGGTAGAAAAGCTGGCCTCTGCACACATTTGAAGGTTGCCACTGACAAGCTACTCTATACTGAGCAATTACAATTGCCCATTTGGAACGGCAAATATTTTCTGGAATCTGACCAAAACTTCAACAAGGAGTTATACTGCTCTAGGGACAAGACAACAGCACTTCACAACAAAATCCTGACTTTGAACATTTTGGTGAAGGTCTTAAGCTGCCTTTGATCCAGTACTTTGGTCTTTCCTTACAATACAAAGAAGACTAAGACCTACCATCATTATTAGTAGATTCAAGGGATGGAAGGATGAGAGAGGAAGAAAGAAAAGAGGAAAAATAAGAAAAATTAGGAAAGATTTGTTCTACTGAAGACATTGTATAGCTGTAATGAGAAGCTATGGCTGCACCTTTTGACATATCCTGTTCATAATTGCTTCTCCAAGTAGAGGCGGAAAACTAGGTTGAAGATGGCAAAAAAATCTGGATGTAAACTTCCACTGGCATTCTTTCAAAAAACTTTGTTACCTCTGGTTGCATCCCAAAATTTGCAGAAACAATTAACGCTTCCCCAAAATAAAGATGATACTTCACTTCAAATTGAATAAACATCCAAATTTCTGCCACGAACCAGCCAGCAAGCCAAGAAGGAATTTTCTTCTAGTATTTCTGATATGGTTGATGGTTCACATTATTCATAGCCCTGGCAGGAGGAATGCCATGAATTAAGCTGCAGCTAGTATTGTAAGTATTTGGCAGCACAAGCCCCTCAATCTCTGGACTGCTGCTGAGTGCTAAAGTGAATGCAAGAGTTCAACCTTACCCCTAAGTCTAGCAGTTTAAGGTATGAATGCTGCTATTCTGTGATGATCACTATTCTACAGTACTAGAGGGTCCCAGGGCATAGTATCAACAGTTTAAGATCTCAGAAGATTGCTACCTTTGTAACCCAGGCCTTACACGGCAGCCTGTTTTTCTGAGGGAGTGCAGGGGCAAAGGCGTCCTGGCCTCTTTCTCCCTGTACAACCTCAGCTTTTACTGCAGAACACAATAAAAAAGGTCAGCAGGAACACTCGTACAGAACATGTGGCTATTTCTGCCCCACACAGACAGAAGCAGGGTCAGAGAAAGGTTGGGATCTCTAATGACATCTATTTTCAGTTAAGATTCTCTAGCCTTACAGATTCTTTAGGAAAAATATTTGCAGATGGCCCATCAATCTGTGCTGTGCTCCCCTCCCCCTCTCGCACAAACACACGGAGCATCTGCTGTACCATTGTTTAACGGTACTGCAGCTTTGCACGGAGGCTGGGTCTCAAAACCTGGAGATCTGTGTGCAGACGGAGGCAGAACTGTGGTTCTGCGCATATCAACTTGACATTGGTCCCAAGGCAAATAACATCCATACTTTCCACATCCAAGTTTCTCCATAAACAGCAAAACATACTCCCTGAAGGATTAGGTCTGCAAAATGATGTCAGTGGGATTTCTTATTGTTATGAGTAAGGGTATGAAGAATCTTAGATGCCAATATACAAAAACTGACAACAATGCTCTACTTTCAGATAGGTTTTACAGGTACAGTAAATAATACTTTCTGAGTTTGCATATACCCAGAAACTAACTGAAGCATTATTACATTCTTGCATTTGTTATAAAAAGGCTCACTTAAAACTTCCAGTAAGCATTTACTGGAAGTAAACTGCAATTTACCTCCTCCATAAGAGGTTTGCAAATTAAGCTTGTAGCATAAATGTTTGTGAGGTATGCCACAGAACAGTGCTTCAAAAATTTGTATATTCTCATAAGATTTCTGTTTCTAAGAGAAATAAATTATTTTCCCTCCCTTCTCTGCATTGTCAAAATAAGTAATCTGCTGGGGAGAACCACAGACTGGGAGTGTAAGACTCAGTCTTACTACCAGCTCTGCGTGCGTGGAAGTGACAGCAATATAAAGGGATCAATCCTACAGTCAGCTCTGTGCACGCTTGCATAATTCCAATAATAACCTCCTTTCAAATGCCATATGCCTTGTGGAACACAGAAAATGCATGTATTTTCTCAAAGATGTAGGACCTCTTCATGAACAACTTGGTCACTGCCTTCAAGAGACAGCAGAGAATTTTAAAAATTATTTATCCCATGTTATTTTCTTAGCCAAGTGAGGAGCACCACCCTTCTTATTCAAGGCATGTCAGAACATGGAAGTCCTCATGCAGCAATTAATGAGAATAACTTCTACATCCACATGACATCTCAAAGTCAATGACAGTTCATGTAAAGCCTGTATGTTGCTCGATACAAGATACAGACCCACTTCAAACCCTCTTCTTTCATCAACATTGTGCTTGTGAAGCACAGAAATCTGTCTTCTCATTATACTGCTAGGATAAGCTGCATATATAAGCTCAATTACTGGTCAGTAAAGGGATACTCCAAATTAAACACCAGAATTATAGCCAGGAAGCTCTCTTATTCAATGTTACTAAGCTACTCCAGCCTAGAGGCAGTTCCTTAAGACAAGACATATGCTGTTTCACTGCACCTAAAATCATAATCAAATCCATTAAATACAACAGTATATATTTATATGGACACATGCATAATGAAGAAAGCTTTGTACATTTTTATATTTTTGGATGCAAACATACTAAGTCTCCGGAAACACTTTTCAGAAAGTTCCAGTAAGAGCATGTCCTCTTATGATAAGGCATTCTCAACTCTGAGCCCTATGATGGAAGTGAAGTAATACATCATCCTAAGTAGTACCAGACTGTAGAAATGCAGAACATGACTGCATTTTCCAAGCTATAGCAGCACAGGTTTTGCAACACAGAGAGGACTGGTGATAGGGATACATGGCTCTTCCACCATCCCTCAACAGAAACACTGTTATTCCAAACAGATTAACAATGATTATTCTGTAGGTACTTCATTTCTCATAATGCACAGTTCTCTGGTGGATTACACATAACATAACTGGCACCTGTGAACATTCAGCTTGTCACCTTCAGCTGGCTGAACGCTCACAATCCATAGAGATCAAGTAATTTGTTTTGGTCAGACCCTGCCACATCTGCTTTAGTCTCATTTCCACCCAGCCCAAATGCTTTATACTGTAAAAGTATCATTTACCCATTTTGTGCAGAGCTATTGTGCGTTTCTGAGTCGTCACTGTCGCTGATGACAATTGTGTCTGCATCAGCGCTGCTGGCATGGCCATTTGCCATTCCATTGTGATGGGCTGGAGCTATGACTTCCAAAATCTTACACTGCAACCTGAAACAAAACACAGATATTTATTACTGTCAAAGTTTTTTAGTAGTGCAAGGAGTCTAAAGTTGTAGCAGATGTTATTTTAAGAATACATATATAACTCAACATTGTATTGTCTATTAAATAAGTAAATACCTAAAATCCATGCACTGAAATACTAGGCAAGCTATTAATTTCATGAGTTCCATCTAATAAATGAACAAATTCATCTGCTTACACAGCTATCAGCTTCACTACTCAGGACAACAAATCAAGCCACTGGTAGAATTATTTGTGGTTGTAAATTTTTTTGTTTCAGTTCTCACTTAAGTAAACTAAAAAGTTAACTTAATGTGTTACTTTAAAACCAGACACCAAACCTTTTACATTTATTTTGATAGCAGTCTAAGAAAAGCAAAAGATTTTCAGATCCCAAAGTATTTTTGCTTATAAAAGAGATCATCATCTACCACTGTCGATGACCTAAATAAACAAGGCTGAAATGATCATTATGCATCTAATCTTAATAATGGCCCATTTATCTGCTGACACATATTAAGGCTCCATCTGGCATGCACACAATTGACAAAACAAGTCTATCCCTTTGCCATCCTGAATGCTAGTTATAAAAGGCAGAATTAACTACATATTAAAAAGTATAATTAATCAACACTTCATGCTGTGTAACTGTATTATAGCTGGTTCTTAACCACTAACTTTCACCCCTTTCTGGAGTTCCACGGTTCATATTTTTTAGTTTAACCTCCTAGAGCCTTGTCTGCTTCATGAAAATTAACTGTTGCAGGCAATGGATGCTGTCACATACTACCACTAAAAGCTCAAAGGGTAGGAGGAGAAAGAACACATAATAATTCTCTTCTCTGAGCAACAAACAGTCACTTGAAATGAATAAAATAGAGAATACATGAAGGACAGGGCTTGAATTACTGTGGCATCATGCCTAAGTTAAAAACAAACAAACAAAAAACCCAACAAATCTATGACAGACAAATTCTAAGTGTTCTTCTATCTGAACTGAACACTGGCAAAAAGGAAAATGTCAAAACATTTCTTAAACACCTCCTTCTGCAAGCAGACAGTACTATCCAAAATCTGCACACATTGGGGAGGGGGAAGAGGGGGGCAGAGGGAGAGAAGTTGAAAACATTGAAGTATCCTATGTCATATTCGCTTGTGAATTTAGCTAGGACTAGTAACGCAGTTAGTGCCCGTAGCTGTCCTCCCCAAGCCTCTGTCCAACAGAGAGAGAGCTCCAGGACACTCCAACAGGTATGTTGTTTAAAAAAAAAAAAAAAAAAAAAAAAAGAGAGGCGAGAGAGAGAGAGACCAAAAAACTAGTAACATCCTTACATATATTCCTAAAGACAACAATATGACCAATGATTAATTATCCACAGGGTCACCAGAACTGCCTGCATGCAGAGGCAGCCTGAGTCTGCTGGACTCCCTGACCGCAGGCACGCTGCCATTCCAATGCAGCCAGCCCCGTTTCCAAAGCTGGCTGGTCTGGGGCTGGAAGACACGTTTTCATGGTGAGTGGAGCCCAAGCTAATTAACTGTGCAAATCTAAACAGGCTCTCTGTAAAGAACCAAGAGCACCCAAGTATGTAATGGAGACAGCCCAGTGGCTGTTCACAAAATAAGTCCAAGTACAACAAGCCTTATTAAGGTCTGGCCCAGCACCAGACTCCAGCCGAGTCCTAAGAGAAAAGTCTATCATTACAGTATCTTGGTTTTCCAGTATTCGGAACATCACAGCCTGCCCTTCATACTAAATGATATGGAGCTGGCTGCATGGCAGAATGTGTATTATTAGACTGTTTTTTTAAATCCAACAAAGATCACCAGCTAAAAAAAAGACTTCTTAGTAGAATTATTTTTGTTTCAGCTTAACTCTCTAGGAAATACATTTTATAAATTCAATTTAAAAACACTTTTAAACTAATCTCTAACGGAAAATAATCAAAAGCACCAATGCTTAAGGCTACTGACACTTTTTCCAATTTGTTTACTACTTGAAGACCACTAGAGGGAGCACATACACACTAAATTTGCAATCACAGTAAAACCGCCACATGAAAGCTAAATCGCAACCTACTCTACCCAATGCCATGAAAGGACAAAGAGGCTACAACAGACACACACGAATCAATCCTCCTGGACAAAAAGACTTGAATATTTAGTCACCGAGTATTTTACCTGCTTATCTATCAGACAGCCCTGTAATTTACAGGGTATCACATCTCCTTCTGTAAGGATGGAGATTATATATTCTATACACTTGATTCAGTAAGTAGTAAAATCCCCAATACAGCTACCTTTTTTTTTTAAATCTTTTTATTATTAAACAGGGAGAATCGCTAATAGAATAAGCTATCACAGAAAGCAAGTGATTCTCCATCCTCTGTGCCTTCATTCAAATCATTACCAGAAATCTTTGGGGAAGGAATCAAGTGAAACACACATTACCTGGCTCAATAAAAGCATAATCCAATGAAATTTAATGGTTACTGATACACAGGAGATTAAAGAAAGTGATGCAACTGTTCCTTCTGGCGTAAAGAAATAATAATCTATGAATGAAGACTTTTTTTAGCCTCACTACAGTCAAGTCACAGCTAGTAGAAGCCAATTCCCTGGGCTAAGAGAGGCAAAGACACTCTGCTTCTAGTGCAAACAAAGGTCTGCTCTTAGTAACCTAATCATTCCATGAGATCACTTATTACAACTCTTGTCTTATGATATAAGGCACATAAAACAGCACAGCAGAAAGCTGAAGCAAGACACTCAAAGCATACCACTTGAAATGCTTTCTAAAAGGGATACCTTAAAAATCTTTGAAGAGCTTATGTCAAAGTCAAACCATCCTTACTCACTATTTCCCATAAAATAAGAACTGGGGCGCCTCAATCTAAAAAGACAGCAGCATTAAATAAATAATACGTACCCTAATATCCCCCTCAGTCAGGAAGCACTTTCATCAAATAACAATAAATACTGTGAAAAAGCTTACAGCCACACTAAGTGAATGCCAAAGGTATTCAGAAAAGGATAACTTGAGAATAGAGCCATCGTGAACATTTGCACAATAGTCCCAGCAACTCTAGCTCAGACACTGACAGCCAAAAGCTAGAACAGTAAACCTGCAAAAGGATTACCCTATACTCAAACAGTTTTGCATACCTCTTTCTGCACTACAGACTGCTATCAACAACAGGGTACCAGTCCCCTGACCTGTCCCAAGGATCGCCTTTATGCTCACAGCTTTGTTTTTTGCTACGCTCAGAAACCAAGCTCTTTGAGGTCTCTTATGTTATAGGAAAGATTCCAAGAAGTTCTTGGCCTATAGAATTTGATTAAATAAGGGGGGTGGGGGGGGTGGGGTGGGGTGGTGTTGAAGACAGAGAAGGACACCACAGGAACCCAAAAGTTTTAAACACGAAGACAAAGGAGGTATCACCAATGTAATTTTTCAAAACACCACTGCGCATCTTCTCTCTCAAATTAAAAAAAACAGATCTTCCATTGATTTCCATGAATTTTTGGTAGGGCTGGTCAGCTGCACAGGTGAAAGAACATAACTGACTCCAGCAGCCTAAGAACAAGAGACACTGAGTGGAGGCTATGGCACAGGACACAGTTTCTCCAGAAACCCAACTCCATCAGTCAAGGAGAACAAATCTGGGTTGTACTTTGAAGAGCAGCCTAACACAACTAGCAGAAAACTGCAAGGTCAGACTGAACCTTGTCACTCCCAGAAGAACGGTAAGGAAGCGGCAGGCTAAAGGTGTACCAAAGCAAACTGCACTTGCAGCCTCAGGCTGCTGCTCCACAAGATGCAGAGAGGACTAAACAGTTTAAGACCACCAAAGGGGGAAATCTTCCCTTGCCATTCCTCCTTCCAGCCACATACCTGGTGCGGTGCTTGCTTTTTGTAGCTCTGGCACTCAGTATCATTTATTGATTGCCATTAAATTGAATTCAACTACCTGACAATCCCACCTCCCAAAAAACTAACCCAACAGGAAAAGCCGGGTACATTTGTGTCGGATGAGCTGCTTGAAGGATCTGATGAGAACTAGAGCATGTACAAGAGGCAAATATCGGCCACAGACAAAAGCAGAGGAGGAAGGAGGAGCAGACCTCCCGCATTTAGAGGCCCTGAGACACTGTAATTTCTTGAGTAGTTCTGTGATTTCTGTAGTTTATCCTTGCTAACTGAAAAGTGACATCTAGGCAAGTCAACACTGGGATAGTAGGAAAGTCTGTTCCAGGGAAACCACACACCTAACAAGGTAGTTGGGTAAGACATGGTACAGGCTTCAGACTCACCAGTAGTCCAAGATAAGAGTGATTCGGGAAAACCCAGAACAAAGGGTAAATATAACTTGCCAGATTTCTCTTTCATTCAGCTCAACAACTCAAAGGCACGTACACAAGTTATTATGAGCTGTGGGACAAGCAGGTATCTCCATCTACCTCGGATGAAGCAGTAGAACACCACAATTTTAGGAGAAAGAGAAGCTGCACTCCACTATGTAACGGGCCAAAAACAGCCATCACAGGATGTCAAGCAGAAACCTTGACCCTACAATTACCAGCACTTTCACTTACTCAAAGGAGTCCTTTCCAAATGCCAAGTAGGCCTTCACATCCAACCAAGGCTAGAGTTATAAGCTGTGAGAGGAGAGACCACTTCTCACTGCCCGTCAATTGACCATTCTGCACAACAGCTTTTAATCTAGCTTGCACTAACTACTGTGATAGAAATAATAGTCTGGCACACTGCTGTGTCCTCATTTCAAGCCAAAAAACAAGATCCCTTGAAGGCCCAGGTGAGTTGCAAACGTGCCTCTGTATGCTTTACAATAAGCAGACAAAAACCACCCCTTAGATGCAGAAGCCTGCTTCAAATGGGGCAGTGGGGGAATATTGCAAAACTTTGAGGCCAACTTTTAACATAAAGAAAACAATCATCAGTGAGTCAGAAGCAAAAGAAAATT